GGACTTAGCTGGCAAGGTGCACTGCTGTGAACAAGAAGCAGCTCCCCTGTCCTGCAGGTCGGGTGACCCTGCTGCCCGAGTGGGCACCACATTTCCCAGAGTGTGTACTGGTGCCAGGTGTGCAGCCGGGCTCTGGAGGTGGACTCCTCCTGGTGCCCACTGCAAAGGGTGTGTGTCAATGAGGTGTTTTTCCGACACTTCAGGAGTGTGGGAGAAGGACCGCCCTGCCTGTGTCGAGTGAGCAGCAGGTCCTGCCCAGGCCGTGTCGGTCGGGTGGAGCTAGAAACAGAAACAGATTGGCCGAATCGAAGTGTGAGTTCTCTTTAACTGTGATATAAACCCAGATTGTGGCTTTTGTCTTCTTTCAGATGGTACAATCACCAGCTGTCCTGTAGAAGAGCAGGGTGTGCTTCCATGCAAGCATGCTGTTTCCATCTTGCCCTGGCTGGCTGGGGCTCCTGGGCAGCTCCCCAGGGACTGGTGGTACCAGGGGAATTCTCTAGGACAGAGCTGTTTGGCCGCAGGGTGGCGTGATGATGGTGCTCCACTGTGGTGCTAGGCACCTACCCCTTAGCCTGCCGCTATACCTTCTGCCTCCTAGCACCTGTGTGACCTGGTAAGGGCTTCACCTGTAACCCCCACCTTGTCGTTCATGAGAGGCACAGTGGGGAGACAGGCCCACCTCGGGGCCTGAAGTGAGGCAGTGACTTTGCACACATTTCAGCTTCTTTAACTTTAGGAAATGTCAGGAGGATGACATGTCAAGGGTATTTTGACCTTCCTTCCAGAGGCCACTTGGTTTGTCCCTGTCATTTTTTCTAGTAATAGATAGAATATGCCTACTTATAAAGTATAGGAACACATCAAAGAGCCAGGAGACCAACCAAGACTTGGTGGCCCAGGAATAATCACTGATAGCATTTTGTTTTTTATTTTTTATTTATTTATTTTTTAAATATTTATTTAGTTAGTTAGTTATTGGCAGACACAACATCTTTGTTTGTATGTGGTGCTGAGGATCGAACCCGGGCCGCACGCATGACAGGCGAGCGCGCTACCACTTGAGCCACATCCCCAGCCCAGCATTTTGTTTTTTAATCTGCCTGTAAATTTCCTCATTCCTTCAACAAGACTATGGGTGTCAATATAGGACAAATGGGGTGCCCTCCACCATCTTGGAACCTGCCCACTTGCTAGTGTGTGGACCTTTTCATGTGATAAATGCAGCTGCACAGTGTGACTTAACTAATGGGTGTGTTCCTTTGCACTCAGTGTCAGCTGCAGTGGGTTGGGAACAGCGCTCTGGGTATCAGTGCCCGAGCCTTGCTTAGGACAGTGGCTGGAGGAAGTTTCTGGATGAGAGGCAGTGAGTCAGACCCTGCACTGCATCCAGTGCTAGTGAGGCGGGGTCCTTCCCTGCTTTCGCCACATGGGGAGGCAAAAATTTGCAGTTTTCATTTGTATTTCTTTGATTAAAGGCTAAATGTATTTTGTGTTTGTTGGCCCCTGGCGTTCGTCCTTCCTTGTCCATTTCCTGTTGGATTTTAAAATCTCCTTGTTAATTTATATAAACTGAATTTTGTACTTTTAGGTTTGTGAATTTATGATACCATAAATTTTCTGGTTTTGTCTTGCAATTAGAGACATTTAAAAAAAAATCTTGTGTAGGGCTGAGGATGCAGCTCCGTGGTAGAGGGCTTGCTTAGCACGCTGGGTTTCATCTGTCGCACTGAAGATCAAATAAAACATAAAGATCAAAATGTTAGGCGGTTGGGCTGGACATGTGATCCAGTGGTAAAGCACTTGCTTGGTATCCGTGAAGCCCTGGGTTCAGTCCCCAGCACTGCGAAAAAGACCAAGAAGAAGAAGATGGTGGTCAAGTTTGTCTTTTGTGCCCTCTGCTTTTTTTTTTTTTTTTTTTTGCTTCTGAGAAAGTGCCTCCTGCCAAAAATTATAAAAAATTACTGAATTTGGGCAGGGATTGTGGCTCAGCTGTAGAGCACTCGCCTAGCATGTGCAAGGCCCTGGGTTTGATCCTCAGCACCACATAAAAATAAATAAAATAAAGGGATTATGTTCAACTACAACTAAAAAATATTTTTTAAATTTACTGAATTTTAAAATTCTTATGTGGATGTTTTTGTTTTGCTTAAATATACTGACCAGTCAGTTTTGTGCCCATTTGGAATCTGTTTCATGGGATGTGAGAGAGAGGCCTCACTTTCCCTCAGGTGCTCCGCAGGTAGTTCCCACACTGTCTCTGCAGTGGGCCTTGGTTCCACCCACTGCCTGCTCACACCTCCCTTGGGTGTGGGGGACGTGCAGGGTGTGGCCAGTGCAGATGCTGTGCCAAGCTGGCCTCTGCCTGGACTGTTGCTGTGCAGTGTGCCGCTCTGGCTCCTTGGGGTGAGCCTCATGCACTCTTTTTCCTGTGCACCTTTGATAGATGCACACACATCTGCTCCTAAGAGGGGGCAATCTGGCTTAGAGATTGGCTCCGGGACAGATGCCCTGCCTTCCCTCCTCCATACCCACTTCCACAGTGATCTGTGGGATGGCATTTGCATAGTGTTTGGCATAATGGTGGTGCTTGCTACTTAAATTCTTAGGCAAAATTAAAATTAGAAGGGAAAATAAGTAGGGCCAGGCATGGTAGCACTCACCTGTAATCCCAGCAGCTCCAGAGGCTGAAACAGGAGGATCACAAGTTCGAAGCCAGCCTCAGCAAAAGTGAGGTGCTAAGCAACTCAGTGAAACCCTGTCTCTAAATACAATACAAAATATGGCTGGGGATGTGGCTCAGTGGTCGAGTGCCCAAGTTCAATCCCCAGTACCCCACCTCCAAAAATGGGGAAATGGTAGGTATTGACAAATGTTCTTAGTGTCTAGGGTGAGTACATTACAGTAAAAGAGCATACAATAGTCCTTGCCTTGCCATCTGCTGCCACATGCTGGTGTCCTTTTATGGGACACAGGGTTGGCTTTGGGGACCATCTCTCAAAGAAGGATGGTTGGAGTTTGAGGTTGAATCACGGAAGCCCATGCTTTGCAGTGAGAGTGCAGCAAGCCCTGCGCACCAGGTAACTGGGAGTGTTTACAGTTCATCTGAAACTCAGTGTCATGTGCTTCTCTTTTGCATGCCATAGTGCTCACTAAAATAAGGTCAGAGTATTTTTAGAAGAATACTCATGAAACCAAAAGAGCTGAGTGAGTAATGGTAGTAGACTTGCAGTGCGTTGGGGAGTTCTCCACTTGTGCCGGCCTCACCTGCCGAACTACATCAGGATCTGCTCTCGCGCTGTCTTCCCCGGGGTGCGCTCTCCGCCATGCTTGCCGGCTCCTGCATGTCCCTTTGGACCAGTGACTCCCCATTCCGGTGGTCTACCAGGGCCCCTCTCTGGTGCTCCCCCAGGCTGTGATGGATTAGAGATGCTCAGGGGGGTTTTCAGAGGGATAACAAAAGGAACTGTGTACCGCCTGCCTGCCGATACAGCATTTCCAGAGAGCAGTCCTCTGGCCTTCCTGCACATCCCCCAGTCCTGGCTGGGCCTGCTCGGGGCTTCCTGCGCGCCCTTCACTCCTCACCTCCTCATTCCTGAGCCGGCAGCGCTGGCCTAGCCTCCCTAAGGGTCAGGAGAATTGGAAGTAAAGTTCCTTCTTGTGGCAGATGGATGTGTCTTGTGCCCCCATGCCTGCAGGAGAGGGGGAAGGAGTCCTTTATTCAGCTGTAACCCATGAGGTCCTGAGGGCCACATTAGGGGTCTGTTCCTAGGAACAGGGGGCCATTGGCTGATGGACAGTTATGGTTAGCTATACGTCCTGGGTCTCACGGGAGAGCACTAGTTAAATGGCTCCTGTGCTCTGGTGTCTGTTCCCAGAAGCCATTAGGATCTGTCCTTTTCCTGAGCAGTGCAGGCTGGTAGCAGTCCCTGGATCATACTCCCTGAACCTGTGACTCTGGGCCAATTACCATCACATTTACATACCCTGGTGGTGCCAGCCACACCTGAGGACAGGTATTCCTCCTTTCCAAGGGAACTGATAACATGATTTCTACCAAGTATTGATTGGTGCACACTTCGCCTGCATGGACTGGCGTCAGGAGCTGCCTCCCACTCGGTGGCTGTGAATGGTGGCTAGAAAGGCTGGGGCCATCACCCCGTTCCACCCTGGAGTGTTTGTGTGCCTGTCTTAATCCTGTTTTGGGCAGGGTTCTCCAGGTCTGGGAGCTGGGGCCTCCAAAGGGCAAGGGCTCCTTTCCCCCCGACTCTGGCCACATTTTACTTCTCCTATGGCCTTGAACACCTGGAAAACTTAGGCTCTCATTTTGGATGGAGTCTGCCGAGATTTGGGAGTTGGAACTGGGACGGGAGCTGCCTGGCTGCGGATGCAGCTCCTGTCCCAGCTCTGCTTGGCTGTGAGGTTCCAGTGGGACAGGAGAGCACTGACCACTCTGAAACACGTGTCCGTGGGATGCAGGCCGAGTTTGATTGTGTTTCCTCTCTGTGGTTGGCGGGGCGGTGCTCCGGGTTGTGCTCTGCACTTTTGTGGTTGGTGTGCAGTAGGGCTTATTCTCCAGCCCACTGGGCCAGGTTCCCAGCTGCATCTTTTTTTTTTTTTTTTTTTTTTTGAGACAGGGTCTCTAATTTGCTGAGGCTGGCCTTGAACTTGCCATCCTCCTGCCTCAGCCTCCCAAGTAGCTGGGAGTACAGGCTTGGCTGCCACACCTGGCTCCGATTACATTCTCAGCACCTATTTTTAATGCCCTATTGGTTTCTCCACAGGGATGCTGTGGTTGTGTTGAATGCAGTCCAGTTCATTTGGTGACCAAGAGTGGGGCTTGCCATTTAGGCAGCAGATGACTTCCAGCCACATGTCCTCTGCCTCCCAGGAGGACACGTGTTTGGTGGTTCTCCTCTCCAATCAGTGTTCCCGTGAGCCATCAGGATCCTTCCTTGTCTGGAGCCAGTGATAGGTGGCAGTTCTCTTGGCCACTGCCTGGCCAGCGGACCCTGATGAGGCTGTCAACCCTGCAGCCTGTGACTCCCCCTGCAGGTATTACCAGAGGCATAAAAAAGATGGTGTCTATGCCGGCTTGGCCCAGGTTGTAGCACAGAAGTGCTCCTCAATCCTGAGCCGTTTTTGCCACTTTATGTGGCCTTCACACTTCCTAGAGGGCACCGGAGTGACAAGAGTTCTCGAGGGAGATCAGGGAGGTGTGGCTTGGAATAGTGATGCTCACCCTGAGGCCTCAGGTGAGTAGCTGGAACCCGGCAGTGTTCCCGCCGCCTCCTGGGGGTTGCTGGGCCTGCCCCCTGGAGAGCTGCGAGCTCCATGCCATCCTTGGTTCGGACAGCAGCATGGCACGTTGTGGGAGACCTGGGCCCTGGGGTTCTTGAGCTTGTGGTTTATTGGGTGACTTGTGTGGTTTAGTTTTCATGAGTGACCCGAGAGTGAACATGGTGCGGATCTTTCTGTTTTTCGAAGGCCCCGTAACTCATACTAAGATGTCGTGCAAGGCATGCGGGCTGCAGGCAGGGTGTGATGGGAAGCTGCAGCCAGTGGCCAGCCCTTCTGGGAAGTCTGGGTGCTGCCTCTTGGCAGTTCCCTTTTCATTTCCCCTTCCTTAGATGGAGCAAGGCCCCAGACTGTCTCCTTGGCTTTGTGTGTCCAGCAGCTTGGAAGAGGAGTGAGTGATTCTCTCCCGCTTTGGCTTCTAAGGTGACTTCCAGCTCAGTTCTGAGGTTTGTCAGGCGTTGGCTGCGGTCAAGGCATGGTCCTGGGCCCTGTGCTGGTGCTCATTACTCGGTTGGCGTACAGTGAAAGCCTGGCCACTTGGAATGGGATGAGATTGGGGTGGGGGGGTTGGGATGAGGTTATTTGCCCTGTAGGTTTGAGACCCATATGCCCAACCTGATGGGTTGAGCAGCTGTTTTTTGAAGTGCTTATGTTTAAGTCTATAGAAAATACCAGAAATTCCATCTCTGGCAGTCGCACTCTTCTGCTTGCATGCCCTCCAGAGTGCCTTCAACGCTAGACCCTCTTACTTGCCAGTGGCTGCTTGTTTCTCTGGGCAGGGGTGCCAGCAGAGCTTGAGTGTCAGGTCCCCCGGCCACCTGCTTGCTAGCTCTCCAGGCACATGTTAGTGGGGTGCCGCAACTGGAGGCACAGCATTGACACATGGGTGTAAGACCTGGTCAGGATGGCTGCTTTCTGATTTCCAGTTCTGAGCCCCACCCACACCCAGGCAGCCTGTGTGGTGAGACAGACTCTTGAGAGCATGGTTGTCATGGTAGCTGGTACATCGTGAGCTCAGTGCACATCAGTGCAGCCATGGAGACAGCAGAGCCCCCACTGGACCTGCAGTGCATGAGCCTATCCTGGGAGCTGCTTCTCCTCAGAACCCTGGCAGGTGACATGCCTGGGGGCTGTGGCAGAGGAACAGCAGGCCCTGCCCATCCTGCCCCAGCGGTGACCAGGGCAGGCTTGGGTGATGTTCTCAAGCTGAGGCACCTTCTTTTTAGAGAGGAGGCTACCGGGCCCCGAGGAGAGGTAGTTCTCAAAGGTTAGGTCAGTCTGGTGACGCTAATGAGGATTCCTTTCCAAAAATGGTTTTCAAGGACAAAACAAAATAGGATGGCAGACGAAGCCAGTTGTACTAAGGCATGGTCATCAAGACACCAAGCCAAATGTGACAAAGTTTCAGATGAGTTCTTCATCACATTTGATTACAAGGACACACAGTGGGTGATTTGAAGTGCACTCTGTGGCTTTGATAATGACTGTTGTGTGACATGGGGTCAGCTGTGCTTTCTGAGTTGCAAGTACTCCTGGCCTTGCAGTGACTAACTGTACACATTCCTAGTGGAAGGGAGAACCGCTAAAATATTCCTCATCTAAGTTTGCAGCTCCAAGTTCCAGGGGTGAAAATTCCAGCCCTTGGGTGCATGGCGACTTGCCACCAGGGTACGTGGTCAGGGCGAGTGACGAGATGATGATGGCCTGAGAAGCTTTCCTGGTGAGGACTCTGGTGCCAGGGACTTGCCTGCCAATTTTATGTGTAGGTTTTGTCCCAAGGGAAAGATGGCCAGGGAGTCCATGGTTTCTCAAGATGCACAGAATGTCAAAACCACAATAGCCACTAAAACCCCTCAGAATCGGGGTGTGGCCAGCAGCACAGGAGCATTGATTGGTGCTGGGGTTGAGACAGGCATAGGGGAAGCAGGGAGCCAGGGTCCCATTGCTGTTGGGCTCAGCTTTGCACTGCGTCCCTGGGCTGGGGAGCACCAGCAGTGTGTGCAAGGGTTCTTCTGGAATGGGATGGGGCTCCAAGCCTGGGTTGGTGCCTGTGCCAGGGCCAGACTCACGGGGCAATTCATCAGTGATAGCCTGGAGGCCCAGAAGCTGTAGGCCAGAGGCCGGAGTCTGGCCAGGAGGGGTGGGGGTGTGTTGGGGTGGTTGGGTTTGCTTGCATTGCCGGGTGGAAGGGCAGGTGGCTCAGTGTAGCAAGAGGGTCTCTGCTGACCACCCTGGTTCTTTCAGGATGAAGAAGTTGCCACAAGGGGCCTCAGCAGAATATTTACATTATTTAATGTGAAAAGTTGGCATCAGCAGCTAAAGCTGCCTTATCCCAAGCTAGCACACACATGCTTAATTTCATGTGCATCTAGAACAAGACCTGACCTGCAGGGCTGCCCCTGGGGTGGTAGCATTCTAGCTGTATTACTTGCCTTCTCTACTTTCTGTAGTAAGTTCTGATCATCAAGGTCAAAGAAACGACAATACATGACCGCAAGTACCTGGTCATGTGTCCCGCAGTGGGTGGGAACAAGTTCCCTGACCTCCATGGCGTGCGCCCTGGGTGCTGGCTGGGATGATGCTCCCTGACTGTGCTGAGATCCTGGGCTGGTGAGGAGCAGTGTGCCAGGGTGCGCCCCCACCCCTCCCCCACACAGAGCCTGGTGCCGCTGGTGTGTACCTAACGAGAAGACACACAGCACAGATCTGGAAGGCTGCTCAGCCTCTTTCCCTGGGAAGGGTTCGTAGCCAGGCATGAGTTTGCCTTCCGCAGCAGGGGCACTAGAGTAGGGACAGGTGACCATTGAGTATGCACTAGGCAGGTGAGCTGGGCACCTCTATGCCTCCTCGCTCCCTGGGCAGTGAGCTCTCCCCTCATTCCAGTGCTGGTTGGCCTATAAATGAGCTCAGAACATTGAACCCGGCTCACCAACTCCAGTTGTGCCCATGTGTTTCAAACCAGGATCCCTTTGGGATTAGGTCATCAGAGTAGTCAGAAAACCCAGCTGTGCTTAAAACCAGTAAGATCTGCTAGGTAGGCCCAGCCCTGGCCTTGCTGAACCTCCCTGCAGCATGCCCGAGGGGTGATGGTGGGGGCATGTGCCCACCTGGTCATTCTGCTGGTGCTCGCCAGCTGTGAAGCGGTGGGCTCTGGCTCTTTTAGTTGAATCTTTGACCAGGCCCCTGAGGACAGACCTGGGCCTTCCTAGGGTGGCTGAAAGCACAAGCAGACATCTGGCCGTTGCTCCCAAGGACACTCCATGGAGCTGATAGCTGTCCAGGTTCCTGTGCAGTTTCCTCATGCTACACTGGCATGGAAGTGCATGCCCCCAGTCGTCCTGAACATGAGTGACCGCAGAACTCTGTCCCCCGCAGTGCTCTCAGCAGTGTCTCTGTGAGCGAGTTTTCATCATCAGGACTGTCCCCTTGGCCACCCAGTAGGCGCTCTCCCTCTGCCTGCAGGCTTCCCCTTGTCCTCCGCCCTTCCTTGGAGGTGGGGCTAGGGATGAGCACATTCAGCTGTTCCCGGAGGTGGCTCTTGGGCAGGTGTCACAGCCCATTCTGTGACCCTCCTCTGAGAAGCTGATGCACACTCCCTGGACATTCTGGGGGGGCCTCATTCACAGGCATGCCTCTCTGCGCCTGTCATCCACACTGAGACTTGGTGGTGACCCAACTGCTCATACAGGAAGTCAGTTACTTGCTGCTTCTCTCTAAGATGGGATCTTATCACCACTGTGCTGAGTGACATGCAAGTCAGCAGACACTTGCACCCACTGTCCCCGACACTGCTGGATTCTGGGCCTCAGGACTCTCGCTGCTAGCGGTGCTCAGCAAGGAGTGCCTAGCCAAGGGGTATGTCATTATGTACAGAGCAATGGCCCTGCTCCTTCCTGGAGCCGCAAGGTGCCTTCCCACTGTTAGGGTCCAGGGAACCCTAGATGAAAAAGAGGGATTTTCCTTCTCTTCACACAGGCTCCAGAAACAAGTGGAAATCATTTAAAACAAGCCCAAGTGATCCATCCCAGATGAGAAGCACTGGTGTGCTGCCTGTGGTCTGGAGGAAATGCCTGCGGGGGAGCTGGGGTGTCTAGGACCCTGGGGAAGAGGCGCAGTCACTGGGGCTGGGTGGGCAGCACATGGCAGTAGCTAGAGTGAGGCCAGGGCAGGGTGGGGTCTTGGGCCCTGTGGAGCAGGCAGCAGGAGCCGTGTGCTTTCTCCTCTCTGGTGCCTTCTGCCTACACTTGAGACTCCCTGTGAGTGATAAAAATAGCCCAGGCACTCCCAGGGCTTGAGGCCTGTGTAGGGTTCCTGTTATTCAGGGAATTTCCTTCCCCGGGGAGGAGGTGTGGGTCCACTCCCTCTGCTTGGAAGACATTCATGACTTTAACTTGGGGATTTCTGTTCCATGTGCCTTCTAGCGAAGTCCTCAGTATTTTCATTGTCCCCAGCAGCAAGGAAGAACTGTCGTGGGAAGGTGTTCATTTTATAAATATATTGCCTTTTTATTTTCCCATGGCTTTTATTCATTTGGGTTAGTAACATAGGCTGGTGGTTAGTAACCTAGGCTTGTTTCCCACAGAAAATATGAAAGGAATGGGGCCTCAGGGGATGCTCCTTAGGAGCAGCAGGGTTGACTCCAGAAAGGACCTGGCCCAAATCTGTGCTGCTGGTCAGTTTTAAGTACCAGTCCATCAGCTGCACTGGCTGGCGCTGTCTCTGCTCCACCATGAGGATGTGCTCCCTCCATCAATGCCGCGGACCCCTCCTCTGTGCTGGAGAGGCTCAGTCAGGAACGCCCATGAGCACCCTGTAAACCATACCTGCCAGCAAGGACTGTTCATTCTTTTCCACCAAGAGAGTGTTCTGGCCCTGAAATGGACTGCAGGGCAGAATTGGTGTCTCTGTGTCTGAATGTTTCCTGGGCACTAACGTAACTTTGCTTCTACTTTTGGGTTGGACGGATGGAGACCTGAGAACTAGAGCATTTGTCTGTTGGTATCCTCTTTGTTCAGCCCCCCTTGGTCCTCAAGGGACCAGGTTTGCAGAGCTGATGTGGACAGTGATTGATGTCCATTCCTTGACACAGAGTCTACGGTGGAAAGTATCACTGGCAAAAGAGAAAAGATCGGGCTGGGGGCTGTAGTTCAGAGCACTTCCCCAGCATGTGAGGCCCTGGTTTCTGTCCCCAGTACTGCCCCAAAAAAGGGAAAAGCTTCCTCCAATTGGGGTGACTTACACTCAGAAACAACAGGAAGCTGCTTGAGAACAGTTGTTCCTGGGCCCCCAACAGGGAAGGGGCACAGTCGTGTGCTGCTGGTGTGCTGCTGGTGTGCTGCTGGGCACGGTGAGTGTTCTGCCTCTGCACAAGTGTCTCCTCCCCTGAAGTCGGTACCTATGGAAACAGCTCAGTGACCTTAGTAACCCCTGAGCATATAAGTTTGTCCATAGAAAGCAAAACACAAACAGTTCAAGAACTGAGTTTTCCTAGGTCAGAAGTAGTAAGAACAGATCACTCTTGCTCTTCTTAATAAATTACTTGTTTCAGGTGAATATCAGTAAATACTGAAATATACTGAATTCTTTTCAAATGGAAAGAGTTTGGTTTTTGAGACAGACATTTAATTGGAAGTAAGAGAAGTCCTTGTTGAACAAGTGCTTGTGTTTTCCTAGATCCACAGGTTGAGCTTTACCAATATGGAGTGCCTGAAATTTTGACATGACGTTTCTTTCCACTGCCCTTGTACCGGTGTTTCTGAGTGAATTACTGTTTTGAATAGCAATGAAAGAGGGGCTCCACCTTGACATTTGGACCCCTTTATCACAGTCGAGCCTTGTCCTTTGGCCTCATCTGCCTTGCCAGTGCTTGATGCTGCCTGTCTTTCCAGTGCCCTAGGTGTGACAAACCATTGGTGATTGATGTCCTTTAGGTCTGTGATCAGGTTGACACCAAGACACCTCCTCTGTGGAAATGCAGTTTTGGTCTGTTGCAGACGAGGGCATGGAGCTGTGCTTTCCAGGGCTGCAGAGAATGCCTGGAGTAGCTTGCACGGCTCTCAGGCACCAGGGAGTGGGTGCACACAGCAAGTGCTGCTCAGGCCCTGTGGCAGACGTGTGCATGAACTTCTGTGTTAGGAAAGCTGGCCTTGGACTTGGAATGGCATGCACATCTTCCTTTGGGACTTCGGTCATGACAGAGGATGTTTTCTGGGTGACTTTGGGGACTTTCCTGTACCTCCTAAAATAGTCATTCAGGGGTTGATCAAATGGTTCTAGGCTCCTGTTGTGTGCCTTCCAAGACCCTGGGGGCAACAGACAATAAACAAGATGACAGCATGGCCTAGAGTGGGAAAGGAGTAGCATTAGGTGGAGATGGGGGAGGGTGCGGTCCTGGCTAATGATGCCTGAGCAGGGCCTCAAAGGGAACACTGCATCAGGACCCCAGGCAGAGCCAAGGCACAGTGTCTGAAGCAGGAAAGGCCGGCTCTCTTGGCTGGAGGTGGTTAGAGTGCAGAACTAAATCTGGGGCCAGACAGCAAGGACTGGCAAGTGCTTGAATGTGTGGCCTGGGTGTGGGAGCCATAGAAGCATTTGAACCAGAAGTGATCAGAAACTCTGGCTACAGCTGGGCAAATGGATGCAGGGGAGACCAAGACCACCACCACCTGCCGTGAGGCCTGTGTGTGGAGCCCTGCAGGACAACGTGCAGCCCCAGGCTGGGTAGGGTGAGGGCTGGGCAGTAGAGGAGGCTGCAGGTGAGCAGAGGCGCGCTGTGCAGTTCACTACACTGTGTGGGAGGCCCCTGGCTGCCCCTGGAAGCAGGGTGCTGGGGAGAGAAGGGTGACTACAGTCTGAGCTGCAGTGAGCCTCCAGGGAAGGGCCTAGTAGAGCAGATCCATTTTGAAGATCTGGGCAGAAAATTTGGAAAAGAATGGCATGGTACAGTGTTACTTGCCACCACGCCATTAGAAGAGGGAGGCACTGCAGACAGTCCCTTGAGCCTGACAGTGGGGGTCCCTGGGATGAGGAGAGTCTGCACAGGGACAAGGGCCAGGCCATAGTACATCCAGCTGGGTGGTGAGGCTCAGATTTCCTCCAGGAATGCCAGAGCCCAAGAGGAGAAGTGGCTGAGAAGGCACAGGAAGTCCTGAGGGCTGTGAAGGCAGGGCATGCCCCCACCCTGGGGCAAGTCTGCTGCCCTTGATGACAGGGATTCTTCCCACTGTTTTCCAGTGCTTGTGCCTCCTGGGCCCCCCGCACCACCCATCCAAGGATATGCCTTCAAGCCTCCACCTCGACCTGACTTTGGGACCTCGGGAAGAACAATCAAACTACAGGCCAACTTCTTTGAAATGGACATCCCCAAAATTGACATCTATCACTACGAATTGGATATCAAGCCAGAGAAGTGTCCAAGGAGAGTTAACAGGTATTCCACTCCATCCTTCACTTCTTTCACTGATTTATGGGGCGGGGTCTGTGCAGACAAACTCTGTGTTTTAAACTAACCAACTCTCATTCTCAGCGTGGCCTTCTGACTTTTTTTTCTTAAAGTTTCTGTTGTGTTTGTTTTTGAAAAATATTTTATTATCGAGACAGTTGCAGTGAAATACACTGTAAATGTAGAGCTCTGTGAGTCAGTCACAGGTTCTGATTTCTGTCACGATAGATTATTTTTCTCTTCATAGAGACTTGAGTGACACAGCAATGGGATAGTGTCCTCGGGTCCTAACTTCTTTTTTTTCCAGGATTAGTTTTGGAGATTCGCCAACTGTATCATTTTATGTACTGTAACTTATTCTTATTGCTAAGAAATACTTAAAAAAGAAAAACTTCATTGTGTACTCAAAACACCATCCTTTTAGACACTTGGGCAGGCTAAGCTTTGGCCAGTATATAGAAAGTGGCTAACAACATTTGCTCAAGTCTTTTTTTTTTGGGGGGGGGGGTGCACATATGTTTTCATTTCTCTTAGATAAATACCGGGGAGAGGAATGGCCAGGTGCAAAAAGCAGGTGTAGGTTTCGCTGTCTACGAACACCCCCACCCCCAGGATTGTCCCCAGTGATTGCAGCACTTTGCTTCCACCAGCAGTGTGAGAGGATCCGATTTGCTCCATGCCCTTGTGAGCTCCTACTGGGGCCAGTCTTCTGGGGGAGTGTGGCAGCTTCTCCTGGTGGTTTTAATTTTCATTTCCCTGATACTGGTGGGCAGAGCACTTTTTCATGTGCTTACATTCATATGTTCATGTATTAAATATTGATCAAAATTGTTTCTAGTAAGGTGTCTGTTAAAGTCTTTTTTCTATTTTTATTGGATTATCTTTTTATTAATTTGTAGATTTTGGTAGATTCTAGATGCAAGTCTCTGAAGGGGAATGGGTTGGTGGTTCAGGTGTGGGTCTGTGTGTGGGCTGCTTCTCTTGTCCTGTAGGCCACACTCATCGTCTTGTTCCCTGAGGTTTCATGACAGGCTTGGCTCAGAGAGACCAAGACCTCCTGTTCTTCACAGTTGCTCTGCCGTGCCTGGTCCTTTGCTTTTCCAGATAGAATCTACTAAAAGCCCTTTGGAGTTTTTAAACTCTGATTGCTTTGACTCTAAAAAACACATGATGTGTTTTTTCTGTTGTGAATAGTATCTTAAAATCTTTTTCTAGGAGTGGAAGAGTGACTTCTAATGAGTCTGGAGTTTGTTTGTGGGGGTGGTGAAAATACTTTAAACCTAGATTGTGGTGATGGTCAAAAACTCAGGAGGATATGCTAAATCATTGAATTATGTGTGTTTCTCCCTGCCATCCTTCCTCCTTCCCTCCCTCTCTCCCTTTTACTGGGGATTGAATCCAGGGACACTGTACCACTGAGCCACATACCCAGCAATTTTGATTTTGACACAAGGACTCCCTAAGTTGTTAAGCCTGGTCTTGAGCTTGTGATCCTCCTGCCTCAGCCTCCCAAGTTGCTGGGATTACCAGTGTGTGCCACAGCACCTGCCTAATTGTACACTTAATGGTGAATTTTATACTTATCTGAAAGTATCCCAGTAGAAATGTTAAAATCATTTTCATTATTTTTTTATTAATGAAGATGGTTTTCCTTCTTCCAAGTTTGTAATGTGTTTTATTTCTCTTGCCTTCGTGTGAGTGGGACACCTGTGGAGTGTCGAGCATGGTGGTAGAAGTGTGGGCATCTGTCTATTCTGGTCTGAAAGATGTGGTCCTAACTGTCGGGTCTTCCTCCAGACCCTCAGAACCTTGTCAGGCTGAGGGTTTATCAGCCTAGTTTGCTGAAAATTGTTCTCAGTGGTGACTTGGATTCGCGTTTTCTGTGTCTATTGAGATCATCATGCCTTTCTTTCTTTATTATTTCTGTGTAGTGCTGGATTGAATTTGTTAGTGTTTTGGTGCGAATTTTTATGTCTCTGTATCTGGAGGGGCATTGGTGTGTGATCTTCTTGTCAGGTTTTGTTTGTTTTTTTTTTTTTAAAGACAGAGTGAGAGAGAGAGAGAGAGAGAATTTTAATATTTATTATTTTTTAGTTTTCGGCGGACACAACATCTTTGTATGTGGTGCTGAGGATCGAACCCGGGCCACACGCATGCCAGGCGAGCGCGCTACCGCTTGAGCCACATCCCCAGCCCCTTCTTGTCAGGTTTTGTTCTGTGTTTTCCGGTGCTATCAGGCATGGAAGGCAAGCACTCTTCCACTGTCCCCAGCCCTCTTGTCATGTGCTGATATGAGGGTTATGAGGCATAACTGAGAGCACTGTAAGGCATTCCCGTTATACTGACAGAGTTTTCTTTGTAGGGAATGTTTTTTTTGCCATTAAATTGCTTTATTGGATACCTCCTCCTAGAATTGTGGACATTTGGCTTTTTTGTGTTTTTGTTTTGGGTCAGTTTGGGTTTGCCTTCGGGACTCTTTCAATTGCATTGTGTTGTTGAGTCATTGGCAGAGAGCTGCTGGGGTCTTCTCTCAACGTCCCGGGCCTGAAGTGAAAGCCCATTTCAGTCCTGATAGTCGAGCTCCTGCTTCATCGGTCAGAGCCTCGTTGAGGGTTGACAATCCGTTCGTCTCTTCCCAGGATCAACTTTTTACTTTGTTGATTTTTTTTCTCTTGTCTTTCTGCTCTGATCTCTATTATTTTGTTCCTTCTACTCACTCTAGGTTCAGATCTTCAATTTTAAATATTTAAGGCAATGAGTTTCCTTCTGAACTTGGATTTAGCTGTAATCAGTAAATTTTGATATACCACATTTTAATTTTCATTAAATAGTTTTGCATTTTCCTTGTGATTTCTTGAACCTGTGGGTTTGTAGAAGTGTGCTGTTACATTTCTAACTATTTGGAGGATTTTTTAAATTTTTTTTAGTTGGACACGATATCTTCGTTTTATTTATTTATTTTTTTTCATGTAGTGCTGAGGATTGAACCCAGGGCCTCACACATGTGAGGCACGTGCTCAACCACTGAGCTTCAGCCCCAGCCCTATCTGGGGGATTTGTAAATATATTGTTGACGTTGATTTATGATTTACTTCCTCTGTGGTCAGAGCACTTGAGTCTTTTGGAACTCTGGGGCTGGTGTTGGGGTTAAGCATGGGTTAATCTTCATAGATGCCCCACAGGTGTGTGTTCTGGAGTTACTGAGCCTTCTCCGAGGGTGAGTTGGTTGTTGTTGTTGTTGTTGGTTTTACAACATGGATTTAACTCTGGCCTAGCATTTTCTGTTTGTACTTTCTGTAGTTTACAATGCTGTGAGTGATGCACACCTGTCCTTGCTGTGTCTTAATGTTAAAGTGGCCCTTTTATCATTGGGAAGTATCCCTCCTTGACCCTTCTTACTAAGGAATGATTCCTTTGCCTATCACCTCAGCCGCGTGAGCAGCCTTCTCCTTGTTTCACGGTCCAGTCCCACCCTGTGTGTCAGGCACGTATATGTTTCTCTTTGCATTTCTAGCAGATTCCTTATAGACATTACTTTTTCCAGTCCAAAAAAAAAAAAAAAAAAAGTCTGTGTGATTGCTGAGCATTGAACCACCATCAGACTGTCTCTGTCTCTTCCTTGGAGTGTTGTGTGTGTCCGTTTTATCTCATCATCAGTGGCTGGACTTGATTCCAGCATCTTGCCACTTGTTTTCTATTTTGGTATCTTTTTGGGGAATGGGGATGGACGCAGGGCCTTGCACATGCTCAGCAGGTGCTCTGTCAAGGAGTCACCCCACCCTGTGTTAGGCGATTTGATGCTGACGCCAAGCTAGGGAGGCTGGGGCTTAAAAAAAAAAAAACCCAAAATCCCCTTTCCCGTTTTCATTTGGGATAATTTTTTATTGAATTTTCTTAGATCACTTTGCTCTCCTTCTGCAGTATTTGATATATTATTGTAGACGTCCAGTGAACTTTTCACTAGGAATTCTACTTTTTAGGTCTAAAATTTGCATTTGACTCTTTCTCATAGTTACATTCTCTAATGATATTTTCCCATCCCTTCACTCATTATTTCTATCTTGGTGCATGTTTATCCTAATAGCTTGTTTGTGGTAGCGTCCTTTGTCTGAGAATTAAAAGATGTGTCATCAAGGTCTGTTTCTGTTTACAGGCTTTACCTTAGATTACATGTCACCTTTACTGGCTTAAGTACATGTAAATTTTTTAAAAAAATTATCATTCAATATTCATTTTTTGCAGTGCTGGGAATGGAACCCTGGGCCTCACACATGCCAGGCAAGCGCTCTACCACTGAAACCCACCTGGCCCTGCACTGCATTTGTTAGACATGACACCGAGTCTTTTGAGGAGTCCATTGCTGTCTGTTCTGATGCCCTGTGGTTCCTCTCTTGCATGGCTCTGGATGCCACTTTGTGTCACCTTGGCCAAGCAGAACTCTGTGCTCCTAACCTAGGTGGTAGAGGGACAGCTCCAGAGCAGGGTATGAGGACAAATGTGTGGCCTTCCCCCAGTGCCTACCTCCCTGCACACCTACAGCCCTAGCTACCCAGTTCTCAGTGCCTCTTGTCTTTCTCTTCCACTACAGCTGCTTAGTGCAATAAGTCTAAGCCATTATGTCGTGGGAGGCAGAGATCTCGTTTCGGATTGGCTGTGCAGCGTGCTGGTGCATTGTGGGTAACGCAGTCTTTGCTGCAATGCTTGGTCCTGTTCGAAGCTTGCATATGATTATGGGTGACTGAGAGCTCCATTCCTTTACCTGTGAAACTAGCTGATGGATTCTTTCAGCGTGCCCAGGACATGTTGAAAGTGCAAGGTCCTTTAAATGCACCCTTACTAAAAAGTATTTCTAGCTTGGGTACAGCACCTCACACCTGGAACCCCAGCACTGGGAGGCTGCAGCAGGAAGATTGCAAGTTTTAGGCTAGCCTCAACAATTTAGTGAGACCCCATCTCAAAATCAAAAAGGGCGAAGGGTACAACTCAGTGGTAGACACCCTGGGTTCAGTCCCCAGTGTGAGGGGCAGAGGTGGGGGCAGATGTGTTTCTGAGCAGAAAGTACAGGCACAACTGGGTAAATGGCTCTGGGGAAGGGAGCGCAGTATGGAGATTGAACCCAGGGGCACTTGACCATTGAGCTATACCCGTTGGTCTTGTCTATTTTGAGTTAGGTTCTTGCTAAGTTGCTGACGTTGGCCTCGAACTTGCGATCCTCCTGAGTCAGCCTCCCAAGCTGCTGGAATTACAGGTGCCTACCACCACACCCAGCTAAACCACTCTCTTTACTGAGGGTATTTCTAGATCTTTTATCCTGTCTCCCCCTTTTGACTTCTTGGTTTGCTTTTCAGTTTTCTGGGACAGGGACTTCTGAGACCTAGGATGTTGTCTCAGATCTAGAATGAGAGTAGCAAAGGCTGCTTGTTTCCTGGATTTGGTGCCATAGCCGTTAGGGTTTTGTGTCTTCAGCGCAGTGCAACGTGGCCTCCTTTCTAAAGGCAGGTGTCATGAAGGCTCCGTAGCTGGCAGGAGCGGAAGGGGTTGGTGATCACTGTAGGAATTCTCCTGGGCTGTTCTGCCACTCCTGTGTGTCCATGTGCCCCGAGGTTCGGAAGTACCCTGCCCTTAGAGAGTGCCTGGGTGGCGTGTGTGCCCAGGCAGCCCAGTAGCTCTTATTGCTTCATTAAAGGTAGAAGCTGTAGGATCTACATCCACTTCACTGCTAACTCTGGAGGACTACCACCCAGGCTCAGAGGCATGACTGCCCCAGGTGTACAGAACCCTGGCCACACCACGTTTGTGCCAGCACTTGGCTCTCCCTCCCTCTTGTAGCTAACCATCATCTGTGCTGCTCAGGTGGCAGGTACTATACCCCAGGACACGGCTTCTGTCCCCAGAGGGCATGAGTCTGCCTGGGGCCCAACTGTGCTCATGCCCTCCTGGCAGAGGTGGGAAGCAGAGAAGTACGCTAGCTTGACTCTGCCTTGTGCCCTGGGTGCAGCTGCCTAGTGGCCCCACCTTATCTCTGTGCCCGTCTCTCTCCTGCCACCCGGTAGTATGTGTAAAAACCATGAAGATGATTCCACCACCACATACGTGGTGTAGGATAAATGTGAAGTCCAAAGTCGCAGGTCTCGGCAGCGCCATGAGAAGACACTGCCCTCCCCTCTGTGAGGATGCTATGGGGCATGCCTGTGACCACTCCTCTTGTTCACCTCTGTATCTAGCAGTGCCACACCCTTGTGACTGAGTGATACTGCAGTAGGGAACCTTGTGAGGCCAGTCCCTTGTCTCAGGGTGCATCACTCAGGCATGTGGCCTTGCTGAGCCCACAGGGAGGCTGCAGGTTGGAGAAGGCAGCACTCAAGCTGTCTTAAAACCTTAGAGTCGGGCCGGCTGTGGCCACATGTGCAGCCCAGACCCACCTCTGCTGCTACTGTGAGCCCAGCTATCGAAGTGCAAATCACTTCAGAACCTTCCGGGGGCAGGACATGCAGGAGTGGGGCAGAAATCTAGAAAGACCTCCTGTGGTCATCACTGCCAATCTTATACTGTAGCCTGTCCCTTCCACCCTGCTGCTTTCCAGCTCTGGTTCAGGCCAGGGAAAGAAGCTGGCCGCATAGCAGTGGTGTCTGAAGCCTCTCCCGTTTGTGCTCCGGGACTGCCCACCGACCACCTGTGAGTGTGGATCGATGTCGACTTTAGAAGGCAGGGGATGTGCACAGTAAATAAGAATGCTGTGTGTCCCAGGGCCTGCAACACACACACACACACACACACACGATGTTGACTCTTAATATTTCAATGGCCAAAAAAAGAGAGAACACACCACTGGTTAAATGTCAGTCTGTAAGGAGGTAAAATGAATGGCAGTGTCCAGTGAATGTGAGGTGGGATTCTGGGCCACCATCAACCCAGTGAGGTGGAGCCTCTGGGTGTGAAGACCTGGGGACTGCAGTAGTGTCATGGCACAGTGCAGGAAGCCAGTATTTCAAGACCACATGGCCTCATCAACTATGGTGAGAAGGACAGGTCTCTGAGATATACATTAGGAAAACAGCAAGCTTCAAACCATGTGTTGGATACCATGTATATAAAAAATAATAGTGCATTTATTTTTATGTGTCTGTGCCTTTGTGAAACAGGGTATTTGTGAGGGGTTTGGTCAGGAGGTGTCTTGGCTTTGGCACTGAGAATGCCTGGACTCCAAGCCTGTGTAATTGGGGACCTGGGAGAAGGACTATTTTGAGGCGGAGTCTTCTGACCCCTGTGGGGTCAGGAGCAGGGACCCGGGCGAGCCCTTGCCCAGGCCACGTCATTGTGCGTTCCCTGCCGTGTTCCTCCTGTCCCCGGGTGTGAAGTGCAGGTGACAGTGTCTGCCGCCTAGCTTCTTGTGGGCTGAGCCAGTGGTTCTGCTCCAGGTCTTGGAGAGAGTGACGCCCGCAGGCTGGATCCCTGTCCTCGCTGTTGTGCCCAGGACTTCCCTGACAGGTACCGGGGTGCACAGGGCCCCCAGAGAAGGTGGACAGGGGGCCTCTTGGTTATGGCTTTCTGAGTGAGGCCCGGCCCATCCTGCGACTGTGTTTGGGGAAGGGTTTCTCTGGGGAGCCGTGTGGTGCAGTGCAGCCCCTGGCCTTCCGTGGTCCACCTTGATGTCGAGGAAGATCTGGATCCAGGGACTCTGGGAATAGCGTCCTAACTGTTCCTCCCAGGTTTCCTGGGGACAGGGCAGGGAGGTAATGCTTCATGGGTATGGAGCTTTGGTCCAGAAAGATGAGAAAGTCTGTGGACGAATGGTCTGGCACTTTATATCCCCCCCGCCCCTCCCCCCCGCCACACATGGGGGAGGTGGCAGAAGTGGTGAATTGATGTCACCTTTTATTTTACTATAATGTAATTTTATTCATTTAAGTTTTATATTTTAGTTTTCTTTTGATGGTTTGCAAGGGCCTCACACAGGCCAGGCAAGTGCAGAGTTAGACCCCAGCCCTTGCCATAATTTTATAAAGAAAGAAGAGCTGGGATTCCTGGCAGGTTTGCAGGGCCTCTTCAGCTGGCCAATTTCTGTTGGACTTTACCTGGGACAGTAGTGGCTTTTCTGTACAGAAACGGAGTGCTGAGGCCTGGGGGTAGGGTAGCTCGTGGGTCTGGGGGCTGTTATTTTGGCAACACAGGTCTGGATAGCACAGGGCTGTCTGGGGCAGCGGCCTGGCCGTCACGGCTGAGCAGCCTCCTGGCTCACCTAGGACATGCCTGCCCTTGTATGCCTGGTGTCTTGCCCAGTGCTGGGCTCCGACTCCTGCCCCAGACCACCCCATGGGATGAGTTCAGCTCAGGAGAGAGAGTGTTCGTGCAGTGTGGGCTCAAGTCCTTTCTTGAGTACTGGGTGCCAGTTGCCCTGGTACAGTTTATTGAGAAGTGCCCTGTTCTCTGTTTTGCTGCTTCTAGATAAGCACGTTGGCCCTTAGCATGGCATGTTTCTTTGGTATGGTTTGGTCCTGAACTGCCTCATCTGCGTGGAGAGGTGAGGGCCAAGGCTTGGTGTCGGTACTTCCTTAGACAGCATGTGTAAGCAGCAGGTAGCTAATGAGGTGAAACATGCCCCAGAAGCCCCCGAGATGCCAGGAATATGTGCCAAGCAAAGGCCTCCAGAAGCGGAAGCCGGAAGGTGAGGGGCTGCTGTTCTAAGCCTCCAAACCACGGGCAGCCAAGTCCTGGCCATTTGCGGTGTTCTGCACATGTGTGCTGGGTGCAGAGGGCACACAGAGAGCCCTCCGGCCCGCTGCACACGGAGCAACAGAACAACACGGTTGTGTTCATCAGGTTTGTGCTGAGGTGACGCCAGAGGAGCACAGAGTGCTGAGACCTCACTTGCTGGCTACGCAGGTGGGCTGGGTCTTGGCAGGGCCAGCTGGGCCATGGCGCTCTGGGCTTTGAGTCAACTTCAAGGTCTTCATTCTTGGTAATGACATGGGACACATTGGTCTGATGATCCCAAGAGTACCAAAGGCCAAGCCAGTCACATGAGACCCACGACTGAACCCCACAGGGGTATCCCCTGTACGCTGCGGAGGCCCTGCACAGTCATGGCAGGGACACCGTGTCTGATCTACAACTTTGGGATGAGAACCCCATCAATGCCACTCTTTAGGGTGCCCGAGAGTTCTGGAGGTTCCAGAGGTACCTGTTGTCTGCTGTGGGTATGTGTACTTGCACGACCAGATTGAACAGGCATTAGCCCACTGCAGGTTCTAGGTGGTGGTTACAGAAGAGAGTGAAAACTCACGTTCCTAAAACGAATCTCGGATCTTAGGAGGCTTGTTAAAAAAGTCAGTGTCGGAAGGGTGCTGTCCGGCTGTGCTCGTTCCTTGATGTTTATTGTCATTGACTTGAATTCTTTGTTTCAGGGAAATAGTGGAACATATGGTCCAGCACTTTAAAACACAGATCTTTGGGGATCGGAAGCCAGTGTTTGATGGAAGGAAGAATCTTTACACAGCTATGCCCCTTCCAATTGGGAGGGATAAGGTAAGACCATTAATTGGGTAAAGTGCATTGGAATGCAGTGCAGATGGTTTGAAGTTAATTCTTCTTATCACATACTGCATCATTTTACCAGGAGAAAAGGCGGCTAATTGCCTATGTGCTTCATCCTGAGCCCCATGAAAACCACCTTCCATGTGGTACAGTTCACAGTGATCATGGGTTAGATTCAGAGCACACCACTCCACACAGTACATGTGCACCCCAGATGCAGGCCCCAGACAGCACCAGGCGAGGCCTGTGGATCAGGGTGTCTATAGCTGGGGTGTAGCGTGGCATGAGTGTGCCAGGCCTTCGTGGGCCTTGGGCTTATCCCCATCATCTCCACGAAAGAAGTGTGCTCACACGGGGTAGTGTATGTTACTGGCAGTAAAACGAAGTGCCCGTTCTGCTGTAGCCAGTGATCGAGGGGACTCAGAAGAGGGTATCTGTCAAGTCACACAGGTAGTGACATTAAAATGCCTCCTTTTCTCATGATCTTTATCCCTACTGTGGCTTTGTTTAAAAAGTAATAAAATCTCTCTCTGGAAGCTGTCATTTCTTGGCATCAGCTTTTAACAAATGTGCTGCTGCTCTAGGATGATAGTGGGTGTTTGTAAGTTCAGAAGGAGCAGAGACCAGCTAAGGAATAACCCTTACACAGACTTTAACAAACACTAGAAAAATGAGCCACTTACCAGCTGTGGGAATGTGCCAGCTGATCCCTTCTGGGAAGGACATACAGGACCAGCCCCTTCAGCCCCGGGTCCCTGAGGAAGAAAAGACTTGCCATCTCAAACTGGGCTTCCTCTACAGAGGTGGAGGTGTTTTGTGCTTTTGCATCTTAATAATGATCTTAAAGCAGGTGAGCTCCGTAGCTGCTCCAGCTTGTCTGCCTCTGCTGCAGGCCCTCTGCGCACAGCGCTGTGTGCTGACAGGCGGGCTGTGCGTTAGGAGGCTGGAGGCCAGGTGCCATCCACGCCTGACTCTGTTCAGTGTGCTCTGGTCTCATGGTGATTCCCGGAGTCACCAGTGGTGTGTGGGTTGTTGTTGCCAACTCAGGGTGGTGGAAGGCCTGTCCCAGGTTGGAGGGCATCCAGGACTGGATGCAAACGGGCTGAGTGTGATCTCCTTTGCAGATCAACATGCTGTGATGTGAGTTATTGATCTTAAAGAGTTTTATGTTTAATTTACATTTATTTTGGTTTAAATTTATATAAGAAAGAAAAGCATAAGGAGATGATGCACAGTCTTGTTTGTACGTATTTAAAATTGGACACCAGGAGGACATGAGGAGAGCTTTCCTTAAGAAGGTGTGGGGGAGTCTCTGTTGCTCAAATTCGAAACGAGTCATTGTGAAAGTCAATCCCAAAGTAGATTTGCCCCTCTTGGTGCTGGGACCCTGGCACAGCCTCCACTGGCAAGACTCAGTGTCCCCTCAACAGCACTAGAGGTCAAATCGTGCTGGAAGGCACCCCCAGGAAGGATGGGTCTGCCTGAAACTCTAGTGGCTCTGGGGCTCCGCATTTCCAGCTGGTCCCCAGTGCTGCACTCTGCACAGCGGGTATGGGAAGCACTTCATTCCTGCCAGGACGTGTAGCACTTGACAGGTACTTGGTTGCTGTTACTGCTCTGTCATCCTGGCCCAGGTCCAGAGCATCATTTGGGGTGTCCAGTGCCTGCAGTGCCCTTCATGCACCCGGCTGACACCTCTGGGGCTCATGACCTCCCAGAGACCTGGGTGCAGCCTGCTCCAGTGGGCATGGTCTCCCCTTCTTGCCACACCCCTCCCACTTGTTGGTACGGTTCTGCCACACACTTGTGGGACAGTGAGGTGAAGCCTTTTTGTCAGAGCTAAGAGCGTCCCCTTTCCTGTACCCGTGCTGCTGTGTGGCATGGAGCAGAGTCATCTTTGGGGCTTTTCTTTGTTTTTGCTTTTCATCACCTGTAGTAAGGGAAGAATCTCCAGCCGTCCCTCTAACCCCTGTCTGCCCAGAGGCTCAGTGGGGACTTTGGTAGCGCTTGCCTGGGCTCTGCGTGATATCCAAGCACAACACCTGTTCGAGGTGGCTTCCCTCCAGACCTTTCCTTAATCCCTCCCACTTGTGTATTTACCTGCTTGCTTTTCCTCTCTGTGGAAAGAAGCCAAGAGACTCCTCACCATCCAGGCCTGCACCCTCACTTTCAAAGTAAGAGACAGACTCGTGAAAGTTGTAAGCATCACGCAGGGGTCCCGTGTACCTTGCAGATGCACTGGCTGAGACTCGTTTTCATCCCACGTATCTGAAGGGACGGTGATCTGCTTTTCAAGATGATTGGTTGCTGTGCAATCATAGAAGCCCTTTAGACAGTAGCTCCTTGGTCACATTTCAGTAGGATATTACCTGCAGCTGCACCTCTTTCCCAGCCTGGCTGGTGCAGTGGGTGTGACACCCTCCTTGGGTCCAGGAGGGTCCTGGCCATGCCAGCCCACCTGCTAGAGCTGCCTCTCCTTCTCTCCAAGGCACCTCCAGGCCTCAGTGGCCTGACAGTTGAGCACTGTGCCAGAACACAGCTCTGTGCCTGGGAACACAGCTGCTACACTGAGCTCGCTGTCCCCAGGCTCACACATGTGTTGTTTTGTGTTCTTCAAAGTGTCATTTTCCTTCCATTGCTTCTTAGTTGTGTAGTGGCACCAAAGCAGCTCTGATGACCTCTGAGCAGGGTCCGTGGTTCAGTGTTAGGTCTGCTGGGGAGGTTGCTTACCTGGGTCGCAGGTTGGTGCTGCGTGCTGACGTTTTGGTTGTCCCTGTTCAGAAGTGGCAGTTATGGTGTCCCTGCAGCATAGACAGCCTCCTGCAGCCCTGTGCTTACTCCTCACATGCAGAAGGGCCTAATGGAGCCACCTGCCATGATCAGGCCTAGGGCCACAGGACCGTGCTTCAGTTGGAGCTCTTGGAATGCTGTGTTAATGAGGCCCAGATAGTGCTGTGCCATGGGCACAGCCAGTAGCCCAGACACAAATGCGGCCTGCTCTCCAGAAGCTGCCAGGCCACTCTGCCTGGGAGGGGATGAACTGGCCAGCCTCTACCCTAAATGACTGCACGCCTGTCCAGAGGGTGTTGCCAAGCCCAGGGTGGGCATTGCAGCTCTTTTTGTGTGGCCAAGAGGAGACTGGGCTGGAACATATTAAGAATGTAAGTATAGCTAGTTGCAGTGGCTCACGCCAGTAATACCAGTGACACAAGACTGAGGCAAGAGGATTGCAAATTCGAGGTCATCCTCAGCAGCTTAACAAGACTCTTTTACAAATAAAAATAAAAAGGGCTGGGGGTGTAGCTCAGTGGTAGAGCACCTAGGGGTGCTCTATACCCTATACTTTGAAAGTATAGGGTCCTCAGTTTTGATTCTAGAGGCATTTTTAAGAATGACATTAATAAGCATCTGATAGATACCACTTCTTTGAGTATTCTTCACATCCGTGGAGATGTGTCTGGTAGAGGTGAGCAGGTTCAAAGTCCCCACTGTGGAGGTGGGCGTGCCACTGAGAGACCTGCATGCTGGTTTCCATTCCCACGTGCACTCTGCTCCAGTCACCTCTGTGGTGGAGCCTCATGCAGGTCTCTGCCAGTCCCGCATGGCAGCCTGGTCCCATCACAGCTCCACAAGGTAGGGACCACCCTTCTGCTTCCTGCCCCTGTGGTCCCAGAAGCTCATTCAGCCGCTCTGGATCTCAAGGCCGTGGCTGTAACGGGAGAAGATGCCTACTACATTATCAGTGCTGCATCAGATGGCTGACTGCAGCTTTTACCAAAAGTAGAAATAAACCCATGTACCCACCATCCACACTTAGCCCACAGTGCCCTCTCACGTACCCTCCCTGTCCCGGTGACTCGGGCTGGTCCACCCTGACTTCTAGTGCATGTGCCCCTCTCATTGTTTTGCTTAGTCTGGTTTTTAAGTCTGCAGGGAATCAGGTGCAGTGCCCTTGGTGGTTCTTCCTTTCCCCAGTGTTAGAGTTTGAAGACCACCAGCCTTCAAACTTTCCACAGTCCCCCCCGCCCACCCCCCCAGCAGATGGACTTTGGGCACTTTCCAGTTTGGAGTCTCAGGTGCAGCGGAGCTCCAGGTGTGGCCAGGTGTGAGGGCACAGCTGGAGGCCGAGGCCCGAATATAAAGCATGTGCAGAGCAGCAGTGGGTTTTGCCCTTGGGAGGCTCAAGCAAGGAGTGGCAGGTGGGACAGGAGGGAAGGCTGTGTAGAGGAGGCTGATGAGCAGCTGGGAGCAGAGTGTGTTTGGCCTGTGAGTGAGCAAACCCCCAGGACAATCGGATCACACTCGACCAGGACTCCAAGGCTGAACAGGATATGCAGGGTACCTGAGTTGGGAAGGGTGCTATAAGCACATGGGACAGAGGCAGCAGGTACAGGCATGAGGTGGGCCTGGGGCTATGTCCATGCATCTGAGTCACATGCCTGAGGGTGCCTGAGGTCCTCATAGCCCAGGCATCACGTGCTGAGTGGAAAGGCCTCAGTGCAAACCAGCCTGGTTCCAATTCCATCCCTGCCCGTGCATGTTGCTGTGGCCCTGGGCTGTTGTAAAGTCTGAGTGTGTTTAAAAAAAGGTGAGTCCTGTCTCCCTTGCTGGGATTTGTGGGCATTTGAGGATGAAATGTAGGCAGTCCATAAATGTCAGGTGATTGGTACTCCAGAGGTGTTGGGAAGTGTCATCAGCAGAGTGAAGCTACTGTAGTCAGCCTCTACCCTAAGTGACTCCCTGGGGGCTTTGTGTGTACCACGGTCAGGACATGCTGATGGCCTGGTGGCACTCAGGCCGCAGGTTTTAAGTGGTGGGGCCAAGCGAGCAGGTGATGTCAGGCCTGTCCTCTTGTGTAGCAAGGCAGGTGCGTGAAGGGTGATCTAGAGGCCCTCCCTGAGGGAAGAGTGGCTTTTTTGCTAAGCACCAACCCAAGTGCGAGTCTTGGACTGTTGTTCTTCATGTGGGCCACTTGCCACAAACAGCTGTATAGACAGGCTTTCACTAAAAGGCAACTCAGCTAGAAATTCAGTTTCTTGATCACATTTGACATGCTCAGTAGCCATGTGTGGCCAGAGGATGGGTAAATAGCTTCAGGGAGTGTCTTGGCCTGGTAGTCTGTGTCTGCCCACTGCCAGCTATCCTGAGTGGCTTTTTAGGAGGGAATGACTGTGCTTCTGACCTTTTGCAGGTGGAGCTGGAGGTCACACTGCCAGGAGAAGGCAAAGATCGAATCTTCAAGGTATCCATCAAGTGGGTGTCCTGTGTGAGCCTGCAGGCCTTACATGACGCACTTTCAGGGCGTCTGCCCAGTGTCCCTTTTGAGACGATCCAGGCCCTGGATGTGGTCATGAGGCATCTGCCATCCATGAGGTAAGGGTGCCAGGGGAACCAAGGACTGAAGGCATCTGTTTCTCATCCCAGGTGTGCTGGGAAGTGTACGGGGTTCTCGGAGAGTTGGCGGGTGTTCTGTGTGAAGGCAGTAGACAGCGCTGGCGTGGAAAGCATCCCATGTTACAGTGATCACCAGCATTCTCAGCCAAGCACAACAAGGTCACCTCAAGGTCACCTCCCTATCTCTGTGCCCCACATGCGTGGATTTCCACAGACCCCCCTGGAGGATCCTGTGGTGCTCCTGTGCTTGTCTCCCCTGGAGTCACAGTATGTTACTGAGCAGCAGGTCTACCCCACAGAAACCTTCTCCACAGCTTTTCATGACTGTGGACAGCAGAATAGAGGCCTCAGACTTTTTTTGGCGGCGGGGGCGGGTGGGTCTGGGGATTGAGCCTAAGTACTCTACCATTGAGCCACATCCCCAGGCCTTTTTATTTATTGAGATAGGACCTCACTAAGTTCCCTTGGCTGGCCTTGAACTTGCAATCCTCCTGGCATAGCCTCCCGAGGAGGGATTACAGACATAAGCCACCATACCCAGCTCCAGCCCCCAGACTTCTTGTTTCATTCTGTGGGATTAGCTTTTTACCACAAGTTGCTGCACTTATTGTTGCTGGGAATAAGGGCAGGTGAACATTTTAATGACTCCTCCTTTGCCCAGTTGCTGGGCAGAGGGTTGTGCTAACTTCTGTGGGACCAGCTTAGAGGAGTGAGGCCATCTCACCACATCCAGACCTGGGTCTTCACACCAGTGCCGCGCACCCCCCCCTCCCCCGCCAAACACACACACATTTGGCACATAGTGGGACCTCAGGAGCTATGTGAACGGCTCTGTGAAAAGCAAAAACTGGAGGTTGGGTTGTGGGTCAGCCGTAGAGCACTTGCCTGGTGCATGTGGGGCCCTGGGTTTGATCCTCAGCATGACATAAAAATAAATAAATAAATGTATTGTGTCCAACTACAATTAAAATATATATATTTTAAAAAAAAAAGAAAAGCAGAAACCTCAAACTGAAACAACTCCACTCCAAGTGCCCCCAGGGCTGAGCACGCTCTAAACTGAGGAGAGAGTGGAAGGCTCCTTTCCGTCCATGGAGCGGCCTGTGGAGGTAACCATACCCAGGACCAGCTGACACTGCTGGGGCCTTGGCATATAATCTGCCACTGTCTGGACTGATAACGCTTCTCTCAGTATGGTTCTTGGCGCTGTGGATGGGGGAGAGGCAGTGTGTGTGTGTAGAAGGAAACATCCAGAAAGATAGTTGTTGAAATGCTGTCTGTATCTTTCATTGAGTGGCAGGAATGACTGTAGTGATCTTGTTTCTGAATTCTTTTGGATGATTTACATTAATTTTATAGCAGGAAGAAATGGTTATTTTCATTTTGGAAAAACAATAGGAATAGTAGCAGATTTAACACATCTTAGGTGGAAAATGAAAAGGACCACGTGATTTTTAAGACTGTGACCCACATGCATCTCTGCTAGACCGCGCATCCTCCTTCGGGGTCATGCGTGGTGGCACATCCCAGGCAGCCCCTAGGCAAGGTTGCTCTGAAGAATGTATCCAGGTGGTCCTGGCTCGGGCCAGCACTCCAGACAGTTGTAAGCCCAGGCATGTGGATCTTCCTGTGCTGGCCTTACTGTCCCCTGTGCATAAGCTTAAGCCCTGCCCCTGGGTGCCTGATGCCTGGGAAGCACTCAGTAAACAGCTGAGCAAAATGGGAAATAAATGCTGGGTTATGCATCTCTATGGCATCCTCAGCAACCACACAGCTTGAAGCAACCTCTCCCCAAGGCCAGTCCAGCTGCCTCAGCCTGGTAGTTGTTGGCACTTAGAAAATGCTCACGTCCGTCTGCCTGCCCCATGTACTTGATACAGCCCTGTTCTAGAGTTGACATGCATAGCTGCTACTCTTAAGATGAGCAGTAAGTGTGATGACCTTGAGGTGGGCGGGAAATACCAGGCAACGCCGGCCCTCTGAATGCACCTGGAGGCTCTGAGCCACAGCCAGAACCTTCCCAAGTTGCCTCTGTCTTTGTAGACTCACAAGAGCACCCTCTAGTTCCAGCCATGCGTCCGTGAGCTGTGGCCACCAGGGTCTCAGGCCATCTGGCACCAGCGCTGAGGAGAATGGTCCCCTGGGTCTCCATGCTGTGTAATAGGTTAAACATCTCATGCTGTCCCTACTGCAAGGCCACAAGTCCTCAGGGCTGTTGCCCGCACAGTGTCCCTCAGTCGGCTGTGAACACAGCCACCTTACAGAAGAATAAAACAGAATGATCCGAGTGTGTCTGCCTGCTGGCTGGCATGGAAGGAGGGCGGGTGCGGTCGGCCTGCCCTGCTTGGTTGTGCTCTCATCAGGCGAGGCCTCTGGTTGCAGGTACACCCCCGTGGGTCGCTCCTTTTTCACTGCCTCTGAGGGCTGCTCCAATCCTCTTGGTGGGGGCCGAGAAGTGTGGTTTGGCTTCCATCAATCCGTCCGACCTTCTCTTTGGAAAATGATGCTGAATATAGATGGTAAGCAAAGCTCTGGGCCCTAACTGTGGGTGGGTTGGGGAACGTGTGGAGGAGCCAAGACCTTGGGGAGGACTCTTGTGGCCAGCTCCAAACATGGCTTATGGCAAAGCACTGGTGTATCTTGACACCTGGCTTGTGTCACCTGTGTGGTATGTAGGTCAGGAGTGGTTCTCAGAGGCATCGTAGCCCTGGGAGGCTAGGTGGCCCGAGGAGCTGCCTCTGCCATGGCCTTGGTGTTACTGAGGTCACCAGGCATAGGGTTGGCACCGCATGCCTGACTTCTCGCCCTCGTATCTCAGGCTCGCAAGTTGCTGCAAGGTTCGAGTACAGCCGTGTCTGGCCACGCTTAGCAGGTCTTTCCCAGTCACAGCCAGAGCTTTCCCAAGTTGCCCCTGTCTTTGTAGACTCCCAAAAGAGCACCGTCTGCGCACCAGACAGGCGTGGGCGTGGCTGTGCCTTCCTGAGGATGGTTGCTCCTCAGTGTTGGGCCTCCATTTGTTCTCTGCTAACAAGGCGAGAGTGAAGTTCAGAACAGAAGAATTCTCGTGTGAGAGTCAGCTACTGTGGAAAGCTCTAGAAAGGCCTCAAGATGCTATCTTGCTCAGAGACACATTTATTAAAGGATGATGATATAAAGGGACTAATACTTCTAGAAGTGTCTGCTTCAGAGGTATCTAGAAAACCCCAGCTGTCATGATCGTCAGGCTTTATTTTTTAAGAACTCGTTTTATTGTCACTGACTTCTTCACCGAGGCTCAGCCAGCCCCTCGATGTTGAATCCCTGGGTCTCAGGTGGGGACCCTGGGTGGCGGGCTGGCCTGCAGAAGCCTCTGGTTGCCAGGAGCCACCTGCAGGGGCACAGACAAGCCTCAGCTCTCCTTTCCTGCCCACAGTGTCGGCAACAGCGTTTTACAAGGCACAGCCAGTGATTGAGTTCGTTTGTGAAGTTCTGGATTTTAAAAGTATTGAAGAACAACAAAAACCTCTGACAGATTCCCAAAGGGTAAAGTTTACCAAAGAAATTAAAGGTAATGAGCCACCCATCCCCACCTCCAGGGTACAGGGCTGGGCAGCCCTTCCTGGCCCTCTGGCCTCTGAGTTCTTATTTCTTTGCATGTGGAGGGAGGTGGAAGTGGCAGGAGAAGGTAGCCGTCAGCTCTCCTGGTAGAGATGGTTGGAATCCATTCCACAGAGCCAGAATGGTCATTTTCTAGATAAGTGCAGCTGTCTTTGTGGGATGGGGTGGGGTGGGACAGCTGATGGGTCAGTGCTGTCTGAGTCGCAGATGGAGGACTAGAAACACCCTCAGAGTGCCAGCATGGCCGCACCTGGGCTGTCCTCGCCAGACCGCAGGATGCCTTCTGGCCCTCACATTGACGGTGCCTTCTCAGCCTGGCATCCACTCTAGGAGGTGTGGGTCCAGGATTCCAGGATTTTCTTGGGGACCCCTGCCCATCAGTGGCAGTGCTGGCTGCACCTGCCATCAAAGGGCCGTCAGCATTGCTGACGTCACTTGGTGGCCCCATGGGGGGCAGAGGAGCCTGCACTCCCTGCACAGTCCACGTGCTCCCCAGGGACGGAGATGCTGTGTCTTGCAGCGTCAAGTTTCCCTGCAGGGAAGTGGACTCCACCTCTGTGGTAGCCTGTGTTCCCCTCCTCGGGGAATCCTGCAGCAGATTTGGAACCCCCGTGTCTGGGTCTATGGACACAGTTCCTGTGAAAACCGACTCTAAAGGGGAGTTCAGCCTGCATGCTCACACTGTCTGTGCCGGTCCCCCAGGTCTAAAGGTGGAGATAACGCACTGTGGGCAGATGAAGAGGAAGTACCGCGTCTGCAACGTGACCAGGCGGCCTGCCAGCCACCAAACGTAAGATGGCTACCCCTTCAAATTCTGGGGCCTTGGTCCTCCTAAGGGGGTTCATTTGTTTTGCTTTTGCATGACAGTACCCTACTTAATATGGCTGTTTAGATCCCAGAGTTCACCTGATAAAATAAACTCAAATAGTGGAATTCCACCTGTGAAGGGTAGTGGTGGACAGGGCTCCTTGTCATCCTTCCTGCTGTCACAGGAGAAAGAAGTGGGGCTGGGAATAGTGGGCCGCTGTGGACACGGTCCTGACCCTCGGGGCCACCAGGCCCAGACTGCCCCATCTGGCTGCCTGGCGTGTGTCTTCTGCTGTCTGCTCACGTGGACCACATGCTTCAGTGTCCATGCCTGTGCTGTCCATTGCCTGACTAGGAATGCAGAGCTGTGCCCGCTAAATATGTGGTGTTTTTGCTTTTGTTTTCAGTTGTAGATGGACACAGTACCTTTATTTATTTGTTTGTTTTTATTTGTTTGGTGTTGAGGATCAAACTCAGTGCCTCACGTGTGCTAAGCAAGTACTCCACCACTGAGCTACACTCCCAGCCCTGAGTATGTGTTTGTGTGTCAGGGGGATGATGGGTTTGGACCCGGTGCCTACTTGGGGTCTACTGAGCCCAGTGAGGCCTTGTCTTGTAGTCTTGTATGGAAACCCCTAGCCTGTGGCACAGCCCTGGGGGTACTGACATGGAGCAGTAGGGGGAGCTCAGCCAGATCTGGGCCTAATGCCGTCTCTGTCTGGGCAGAGGCTGCAGATTGCCTGGGCATGCTAGATGGAACAGAGGAGTCAGCACAGAAAAGCTGTGCCTTGTGGCCTTGTCCCCTGCTGGGGCTGCCCTCCCCAATGTGGGGAACATCATCTGGCTCTCCCATCCTGGTCCCCTGCATCTCCTCCTGCCTCAGCCACACATAGGGCAGTGCACACATGAACAGTGGGGCTTGCTGGGGCCTGAACACAGGAGTGCCTCTCAGAGTCACCGTGGTCTTTTGGGAAGCACACAGGCCTTGGTTTCTAGATTTGTCTTTGTTTATCATGAATTATTTTTTTCCTGTATACATATGGTTAACTTCTGACTGTTGTGTCTTTGTGTGGGGATATTCTTTATTTTCCTCCGGTGGAGACAGAATGAGAATTGTGGGCTCTGGAATAGTTGAGGTCAACTAGGAGATAGGGCTTGGCTTCTACTCCCAGAAATCCTTGAGCATTTCTTCCCACACATCACCCCAGCAAAGCAAGCACAAGGACTCAGCCCTGGGTGGGCACATGCAGACTCCAGCAGTTGCTCCAGGGATCCCAGGATATTCTTGTCTGAGCCGCCTCTTTGCCCTCAGGTTCCCCCTACAGCAGGAGAGTGGGCAGACCGTGGAATGCACAGTGGCCCAGTACTTCAAGGACAGGCACAAGCTGGTTCTGCGCTACCCCCACCTCCCGTGTTTACAAGTCGGACAGGAGCAGAAACACACCTACCTTCCCTTGGAGGCAAGTGGCTTGGAGGAGAGAGTGCACTGGGCCAGGCCTGGCCATCTCAAGAACAACACGGTCCCAGCTTGGTCATCGTCTGGTGTATGGTACCCTGGGCGAGTTATTGGATGTTGCCGAACCTTGGTTTCCCTTTACGGGAACTGGACCAGCAGCTCTAGTGGGATTGGTGTGTGGGTGAATGAGTTCTAGGGCCTGTGCCCAGAAGGAAGGAAGTCAGTGCTGAATGCCCGCGCCAGGTGTTCAGTTTCCATCCAGAGTAAGGCCGCTTGGAAACTGCTTTCCTTGGGGAAAGATCCACACTGCACAACAAGCCACGTTAAGTCATCCTTGCACGTCAGTCTTCAGATTGCACAGGGCCTTGGCTTCTTTGCTGCCCCAGACCTTTCCTTGTGCAGCTGGTTTCACGTTCACACACTTCACGTTGGTACTGCTGAGGATTTGAGATGGCCTGGGGACTCTCGAGGGGCCCCAGCCCCACGTGCCTTGCAGGCTGGAGTCGGTGCCGTCGTGTGCCCGTGGTGCCCGTGGTGCCGTGCTGGGTTTCCTCAGCGTGGGTGCTGTGGTGAGCCAGAAGGCCTGCAGCACCTCTCTTCCAGTGTGGGTGCTTGTCCTCCACTGCTGAGACCCCCTTTGCTTCCTGGCTGCACACAGCATAGGTGCTGACTCCTTTCCACATCTCTTCTGTAGGTCTGTAACATAGTAGCAGGACAGAGATGTATAAAAAAATTAACCGACAATCAGACCTCAACTATGATCAGAGCGACTGCCCGGTCAGCGCCCGATAGGCAAGAAGAGATCAGCAAATTGGTGAGCATGTGTCCTGAGGTTGGACCTGGGGTGGGCACCAAGGCTAGGAGACCTCCTGTGCGTTAGACAGTTGTGGCCACTGGAAAGAACAGAGGCCTGTCTGACTCCAGGCTTTCTCTCCTTTCCCTTTTCAAGATGCGAAGTGCAAGTTTCAACACAGACCCATATGTCCGTGAGTTTGGAATCATGGTGAAAGACGAGATGACCGATGTGACGGGGCGGGTCCTACAGCCCCCCTCCATCCTCTACGGAGGCCGGGTAGGTGCACAGGGGCCAGGGACATGTCTGCTGGTGCTGTGGAGCAGCAGTCTCTGAGCCTTGTTGGCTGTCCATGAGGAGAAAAGACCTCACGAGGACCTGACTTCCCTGGGGCCTTGGGGAAGGTTTCAGAATAGTCCGTGATGCCTTCAGAATCCCGTGTCATTCCTCCCGTCATCAGTGCTCTCTGGTTCTGAACTCTTCTCTAGAGGCTTATCCTGTTTCCTGTTCTTTAGCTTTTGCTTCATGGGTATTTGGTGGCAAGCATGGCACCTTAGGTGTTTGTTTTGTGTGTGTGTGTGTGTGTGTGTGTGTGCGTGCGTGCGTGTGTGTGTCTTTTTTCCTTTTTTCCTGTTACTAGGGAGTGAACCCAGGGCCTTTTATATGCCAGGCATTACACTACCACTGAGCCACACCTGCAGCCCTTTTCTTTTTAATTTTATTTTGAGACAGGCTCACTAAGTTGCCCAAGCTGGCCTCTAACTTGTGGACCTCTTCTTTCAGCCCCTCAAGTCGCTAGACTTACAGGCCTGGCCACCATGCACTTAGTTTTTGCAAGTTTAACCTGGATTTTTTGTTGTTGTGTGTGTGTCTGTAGTCAGTGTGTGTGCCAAGATATCTTGACCACTGAGCATGGTAGGGCTCATAAGAAGAGTCTCTTCATTTCCTCTGGGGTGCACAACACGGAGCACTCTCTAGACAGGGCCCTCTGGACAGGGACCGGGTGATGGCCCTGGGGGCAATGCCTAGGCCTTTGGGCCTGAGCATCCAGAGTTACCTACTCCACAGCGATGGATCTTGTGGGAGGAGTCTACCTGTCTTTGTTCCCTTTTTACGTATTAAAACTTCACCTGTAGTCTTTGAGATCTGTACCAGGACTTTGTTTTTGCTGCTGGTGCAGGCTAGGATGTGAATCCAGAGTTGCCCTCCAGGAAAACCATGATGTCATCTTTCTCATTTGTAAAACCACCCAGGGGTTATTATATATTTTTTCATGCCTTTTTGTTCCTATCAAGTACACTCTGTGCCCTGCCTCTTGTCACTGTCCTGTTTACTCTCACAGCTCACAGAGGGCTCACAGGTCATCTGTGTTATGAGACGAGATTCTGATTCTTGGTGACGGTTGTGTGGTATTCCAGTGCTGAACACGGGCCACAGGATGCTCCCTGTCCTGAAAGGACTTCTGAGCAGGCCTCCTGCTGAGAGCCTGGACATTGTATAAACAGCACCTGTCTCCCTCCAGGTGGCTCCAGGGTGGTCCCAGGGCCGGCCAGGTGGTGGAATGAAGACTTCAAGCCCAGACCTTAGACTTGTTTGCCTCTCTGGCATCCTCATTGATAGCAGAGGAGGTGACATCAGGGGCACATTTCATATAGCAGGAAGCCTTGATGTGTCCTCACAAGACACTTGTGTCCCACCAGGCTATTTAGGAAGGTGGATGGAGATTTGGGCTCTTCCTGATCTCCTGGCTTAGCTTCCGTACACCCCACACCCATCCATTCTTCCTACAACTCTCCATGCATACCCCACCCGGCCTCCGTCTCCCCTCCACCTGCCACATATCCACCTGTTAGTCATCCAGCTCCTCCCCAAACACCCACCATCGGTGGTCCACCCATTCTGCAGATAGGTGCAGGTTGCCTGTGACACTGCGGGCGAGAGACAGGAGACAATAGACAGGTTAAGTTTTTGCCCTCAAGTCATTCTTGATCAGGGGAATGTGTTCGCCATTGTTTCTCACTCTACACTTCTTGATGCTTGCAGAACAAAGCAATTGCCACCCCTGTCCAGGGTGTCTGGGACATGAGGAACAAGCAGTTCCACACAGGCATCGAGATCAAGGTGTGGGCCATTGCCTGCTTCGCCCCCCAGCGCCAGTGCACGGAAGTCCATCTTAAGTAAGCTTGAAAACCAGACATGCCTGGCAGTGGTTCTGGGGTGGGGGGTGGTAATCAAATGACTTCTTGGAAGATCGACTCTGATCGGGCGGCAGGGTGTCTACTAGGATCCCGATGTCAGGGCTTGTCAGCCTTTCCCTATCAGAACACATGGTGGGGCAGCCGGATCAGGAGCTTCAGCCCTCTTGGTGTGCATCTTACCCACAGGACCACTGTGAACATGGGCACGAGCAGATAGTACAGATTACAGACAATACCTGCCGAGTGAGTTTAAAATGTAGACAGAGCAGGCACAGTGACGTACCTATCTATAATCCCTGTAACCCGGGAGACTAAGGCAGGAGCACTGCAAGTTTGAGGCCAGCCTTGGCAACTTAGCAAGACCTTGTCTCAAAGAAATATTAAAATGGGCTGGCGATTGGCTCAAGACCGAGCCTGGTGTAGTGGCAATACCTGTAGCCCAGCTGCTCAGGAGACTGAGCCTTGAAATCAGCCTGGGCAACCTGGCAAGTGTCTGTCTCACAAAACAAAATAAGTAAATTAATAAATTAGAAACAAAAGAGGAAGTTGGATCCATGAACTAAATTTTTAAAAAATACTTTAACTTGATACATCTATAAACTGAGAAAATAAGACGGGGCTGATGGTAAAATAAGGAGGTGGCAAGGCTGGGAGTGTCTTCTTCCTCCCTGCTCAAGAGAGGAGAGAGGAGCAAGAGCGTTAGGTCGTTTGCTGTGTGCTGTGCAGGACCACTCAGCAGAGGGGCACTAGGAGGGACCAGTCCTGACCTGGTGTCAGGAAACACAGTTTTGTGGTTCGTGCTGTTGTGCTTCTCCTCGTCTGGGGGGGTAGAAGGGGGAAATCCCAAAGCCCATGAGTAGAGCTGACAACTTGACCAGACCAGCCAGGGGCCTTCTGAAAGCTCAAGGCAACCACCCAGGGCCAGAGTCCATCACCTCCCAGAGGCTGCACTGCTGGCAGGATGGGCTGGAATCACAGAGGACTCTGGGGACAGGTGAGAGCCTGGGTGCCACCTGTCCATGGTCCTCCATCCCTTCCTCTGGCTTTCACCTGGAGCTCCGTGGTGCTAAGGCATGGTCACATGTAGATAAGAGTGCAGAGGGAGGACGTGTGGGGAACTGGACACTGACATGCTATGCTGGAGCACACTGTCCTCCGCCTGATGGTAGAAGATGACGCAGGGTTCATCCCTAAGCTCCACAAAGAAGTAGTAGATCCCTGTCCCACCCAGCTGAGCTTCCAGGCCCGTTGGCTGTGGCTTGTTCTCTTTCCTGTTATGGTTGTGTCAAGTCCAGCCCGTGTCCCCAGGAATAATGGGCGAATCTAGGATGACGGCGCACGGGTCGTCTTCTGTACTCTCTGTGCCTTCATTCTGGTGGGGAAACCAAGCTCTTACCTGACACAGGGACTGCCCTGGCCTACAGCGGAGCAGCAGCAGCTTGGCACCGTCCTGTGAAAGGACACCTCTGCACCCTGGGAGTGTCGGCCCGAGAGGCGACATGAGTACAAGTTGGAGTCCCTGCTTGGTCTCGGCCCTGCCTCTGTCGTCCCTTTCTGGTAGCCTCTGGATGGTTTCATGTCAGCTCTTTCAGGGGCTGATGTTCCAGCACACACTGCTTTGAATTCTGGCCCTGTGTGAGACTTAATTTAAAAACTTAACTCTGACCTCTGTAAATGTACTTTTGGCTTCATGAACCTTGTGCTCTTTATTCAGGACCTCTGGTTGCTATGAATTCTTTTCCACTAGCTGTGTGTTTTAATGAAATGGACCTTCTTCCACAGGTCCTTCACAGAGCAACTTCGAAAGATCTCAAGAGATGCTGGAATGCCCATCCAGGGCCAGCCGTGCTTCTGCAAATATGCCCAGGGGGCGGACAGTGTGGAGCCCATGTTCCGGCACCTGAAGAATACATACGCTGGCCTGCAGCTGGTGGTGGTCATCCTGCCTGGCAAGACCCCAGTCTATGGTGGGTATCTGGTGACTGTTGGATTCAGGGGCCATGGTGGCCTTTGTAAGAGTAGGTTGTAACCTGAGCACCCTTGTGTTTTGCCACACTGCGGAGCATTGGCCTCTAGTTTATTCGTGACTCTGAGGAAGAAAGTTGGTCCTGGCCACTGCACTCCGGCAGCCAGGGCCAGCCTCATTACTCCATCTTAGGCCACAGGACTAGGGAGCCAGCACCTCCAGACAGTCGATAACTGGGCTGGAAGGTAGTTGTGTACACCATGCCACTTGAGTGCTGGCAGAGAAGTGGGGTTCCCTGGCTCTGCAGTGTCTCCCAGGAAGCCTCCAACAGCTCCCGTGTCCGCCATAGCCTAGCTTTATCACCTCTAAACCACGTCAGAGTCCTTTATGCCAAAGAACAGTTGCACATTCTTCTAGCCATGGTATCCTGAGCCTTGTTTGTGGTGCCCCAGCCGCTGGAGAATACAAAGAAGTCAGATACAGCCCTGCATCCAGAAGCCAGGGCGTGCAGACAGAAGCAGGAGAGCATGCGGACAGCCTGGGAGAGCCTCTGGCAGCAGGGCGGAACCCAGAAGGGCCCAGGGAAGCACTGGGGCTTGGTGGGTGTCCCTAGCAAGGCTCCCTGTCTAGTCGGAGTCCAATTACAGACAAGTGAAAGCCACGCTTCTCCCCTCCAAGTTCAACTTCCAGAAAAGCAGTAACAAGAAAGCTGTGGTGCTGCCCTGAGCGTCCTCTTTCCTCAGAGCTGCCACAGGAGCACCTGCTGGGGAAGCGTCCAGGGTGGAGGCCTGTGGGCCTGGAGAGCTCTGATGTCAGATCTGCGTTTGCCAAGGGTTCCCAGGTGTGAGTGTTTTTATATCTAAGCACTCAAGCCTGTGCCATAAGAAGATGTCGTCCTGCTGAGCAGTGCCTCGTCTTCCTGCCCTTGGCCCTGGGTAACTCATTTAAGTGCTCTTGGTTCACAGACTGGAAGGATGAGATATGCCCATGCAGCTTCACATTCCCAATGAGGGTGAGCCTGGCACAGGTGCACGGCAGTGCTGAAGAGCACTTGGCCAGAACCTCGGCCCCTCCACCTGCCAGAGATCCTGTCACATAGGTGACCGCAGTCACTCATGACCAAAAATGTCCAGAGGAGTGCTGTGGTTGGACACTGCACCAGCGCAGTTCAGGTCGGGGCTGAAGGGCTGGAGAGCTAGAGACAGCTGCTGCCCTCAGGCCAACAGAGGAAGGGGCACTGGTGGAATCTGTGATGTGTGCCCCTTTGTGTCTCACAGCTGAGGTCAAGCGTGTGGGCGACACAGTACTTGGGATGGCCACACAGTGCGTGCAGATGAAAAACGTGCAGAGAACCACACCACAGACCCTGTCCAACCTCTGCCTGAAGATCAATGTCAAGCTGGGGGGCGTCAACAACATCCTGCTGCCCCAGGGCAGGTGAGCCAGCCCTTCTGCCTGTGTGCTGGGTGCGTGGATGGTTTTCAGTGGGACAGGGCATGGTGTGCAGAGGTGCCTGGGTGAGAGCTGTCCTGGACAGTGCTGAGGACATGGGGCCCGACTACACACAGTCTCTCTAGGACCAGGGGTATATGCAGGGGGCAAGTGCAGGGCCAGAGTGGGCACCCCTCCCTGTGCTAGGATCTGTGCAAGTGAGTGAGGCTCAGCAGGGGCACACTTGGAATGGCTGGAGAGGGGTGCCCTGTTCACCTGCAGGACCCTGGAGCAGCGGGATATTCTAGAGTCTGCACAGGAGTTCCTACCAGAGGCTCCCTACCAGGGAAGGACGGCACTTGATGCTGTGATTGGAGCACTTCTGTCTGAAAAGTGCCACACAGGAATCACTGTTGCTGGATCCCAGGCCAGCCCAGGAAGTGTGGCTGAGAACCAGCTGCCTGCATGTCCCTGAGCTGGGGGCGGGTGTGATGCAGCTATGCCTTTCTCGAGTGCCCCCTGGGGCTGGCTTGTTGCCCTGGGTACTAAATTGCAGAACCAAGTTTACCATGTGCCCCTCCTCAGAAACCAGGGCCTCCAGCACAGACGAAAGGGGTAGTTATGATGACAGATGTTGAGATCTTATCATTAAAGTCCCAGGGCCTTGTCTTAGTATAGGAATGACAGAAAAATGGTGAAGACAGTGAAATAGTTCAATGAACCTGACTGTCCTAGTGTCAAAGAGATAATGGTGAAAAGTGGAGGCAGACATTGATAAGCACTGCCCAGGTGTAACCTCCAGCCTGCCCTGGGGTTAGGTTAGTGTCTCCTTCCATTTTGTGTTGTTAGAAGGAAATACCTGAGGCTGCAAAGTTTAGAAGGAAAAGAGGTTTATTTAGAGGTACAGTAGAGGTCCAAGAGTGAGGTGCCAACCCTGGCTTCTGCCGAGGTTTCCTGGTGGATGGTTTCATGTTGGGAATGCTCACATGCATAGAGAGGGTCACACGGCGGAAGAAGTTTGTACAAGTCTCTCATGGTAACTAACTCATCCCAGCAAGATGGGCATTAGTCCCTTCCCAGGGTGACGCCCCAGTGACCTAACCATCTTCTACTAGGCCACACCTCTCAGTAGCCTCGCACTGGGGACCACATCTCCAAAACATGACTCTGGGGCCACACCAGAGCACCAACATGCGACACTCTGTGGGTCTGGTTCGCCAGTGTCTGGCTCGGCAGGTCATGTTTCTGGCCCAAGAATCCACTCTGCCCTGCACTGCTGATGTGGTGGCCAGGGACACACACTCTAAGCACTGCCGAGTTATGCTCGCAGCTGGGGAGAGGAGGTTGGTGCGGAGGAACCTGGCCTCTGCCTGAATTTGCTCCCAGCTCTGAGCGAGAGCCATTCCACTCCCACGAGTTCCTGGGAATGAATGAGGACACGTCAAGGGGCAGTTGGCAACCCCAAAGGTAGTTCCGTTAGCCAGCAGGCTCTGAGGTTGTTGTGTGCAAGGAGTTTAGGCCATAAACAGAGAGCCCTGGGACCTCGTCTGTACCCCTTTAATGGAGGGGTGATGGCTATGAGGACCTCACACCTGGTGTGCCAGTGAGCCGCATCACAGTGGCAGGGGATGAGCTCAGATGAGCATCTGGCAGAGGACGTGGCCTCCAGGGCCCTGACACGGGAGCTGAGGGAGCGATGGGAGTTGTTTCGCTGAAAGGCTACAAGAGTGGTGGGCCCGCGAGGTAAGCTGCAGCTACGGGGGCACACCTGACCTGTGTTCTGGAAGGCTGCCTGTGGCTCTGCATAGAGGGGCCACTGGCCTCTGCCAGGCTGGAGGCAGATGTGGAGAGGGAACACCCTGACTCTGGGTGGCTTTGAAGAGAGAACCCTGGAACTGGCAGGCAGGTATGTGTTTACGGAAGAAACAAAAGGGAAGAAGCAAGGATGGCTTCAGAGCCCTCGCTCGGCCTTGTTCCCGAGAGGTCAAGCGCATGCTCACAGCTGAGGGCCCAGGCTTGCTGCTCAGGCCTCTGCAGAGCCCCTGGGTCATGTGATGTGGCCTGTGGGAAGCAGGCTTCTGATACCCAGAGGCCATGAGATCCCGGAATCCTGGATGGTGTTCAAAGCCAGGAGGCTGGAGGAGATCCCTTGAGGGAGCTTCTGAGTGCTGGGAGGGCCAGTGTCGCAGCCCTGGGGGCAGCAGTGGAGACAGCAGTGAGGCCAGGGAGGAAAGGTGGCCCGGTCTCTGGATGCCTGGGAAAGTGTGTCCTGGGTCACAAGGCCGCAGTGAGCCGTGCTTGATGAGGCCTGAGTGCATTTCTGGATACAGGAAGGTCTGTTGGGCCAGCTGAGGTGACAGTCCCTGGAGACCTTGCCAAGGAACCTGACTGCCAGGCAGTGGGAAGGTGGTCATCAGGCGTCTGGGAGGCAGTCACAGGTTAGTAGATTCAGGGAGCTGGCTGCAAGGAGGCGAGGTTGCTGGGACAGGTGTGGTTTTGCTTGTTCCGTGTGATTTGCATGTGTGAATGAGGGTGTCACAGGCTGGCCCTGCACTCCGAGCGCCCTGACAATGAGTGGTCAAGGCCTGTGGTGTGGCTTCCCGCAGCTCCTGCCTTCTGGTGTGACAGAGCATAGTGAGGCCACATGGGGTGCTGGCTGGTTCTAGAGCCTGGTCAGTGGGACTGATGCCATTTGGGGGCCTCCCCAGAGTTCACAGTGTGGGGTGTGCTTTCTCCATGCCGTCTGCCTCCGTACCTGGCAGCGGTAGTGATGTGGCACTGTGGGAAGCAGGTGCCTGTGAATTGCCTGGCCTTAATGGGGCAGCAGACAGCGGCCTGAGGTCTGCCAGGAACCCCCACCCAGCCAGCCAGTGCCCCAGGTGCAGCTGGAACTACAGTGGGGATTGGAGGGACCCTAGCCACCTGCTGAGGCAGCTGGCATGGGGCATATGTGTATGAAGCTCCTTCTGCATCCTGAGGAAGTGCAGGGGTGGGCATGCACAGCCATGCTGGGCTTAATGGCTGTCCCTGTGGCTGAGCAAGGGACACCCAAAGTGAGATGGAAGCAGGTCCCAATGGCCAGCATCCCTGGCGGGATTCCTTCTGCCAGCCTGCTGAGGAGTATGGTCAGAGACTGCAGACCTGCCCAGGAGCAAATGGGAGGTCCTAAGCCAGCGCTGGGTGGGGAGTACATCCTTGCTTGTGTCTGTGTGCCAAGGAACCCACCTTCCACACCCCCTGGTGGCTGGGACAGATTCTCCTGGCTGCCACTCCCTGCCTAGGAGTGTCTGTTCTTCAGTTCTCTCTGTGGCAATACCCACTCATCCTTCTGGCACCAAAGGGGAGTCCTGAGACTAAGCAGTTGATGCAGTTTGGAAGAGGGCAGATTAAGATCCACCGCAGGTGGAACGGAACCCTTTCTTACACCCAACCCAGTCTCTAGCTGTAGGGCAGGATGCCGCCGAAGGTGTGACACAGGTCTCTACACTCTCATGATATTTTCTCCGTCAGCATGGAAATGGTAATGGGGCCAGCTGCTAGTGCTACCGTGTGAGGAGCCCTCTGAAAGTACTGGACACGCATGAGCTTCTGTGGTCATGTAGCATCCCTGAAAGCGGACAGCACAACCCTCCCTAGAGCAACCCCTCCTGTGCACATTGTTTCCCAGGAGGAGTGAGTGGAGGCTAAGAGTGCTGCTGGGCCTCCTCCGGTGCTCAGAGCAGCCTCTCCCACAATAGAGTCGTGGGTGGAGAGACTCCCTGCAGCAGCACCAAGCCTGAGTAACAACCCATGGGATCTTCTCCCTCTCCCTTTCCCTCCCCTCTGGTGCTAGGGATGGAACCCACAGCCTCCCACATGCTAGGCAAGCACTCTACCACTGGGCTACGTCCCTAGCCCAAGCCATGGGAAATTTTTTGGAAATTTTAAAGTAAACACAAAGAAGATAAGGAACAATGAACCCTCATGTGTCTGACCTGACCTCAACAGCCATCAGTGCCTGGCCAGTCTTGTCTGGGGTACATTCCACCCATGCTCCACTTTCTCAGGGTCCTTCTGAGGCATATTTCAGCCCTCATGTTACGTATGTGTGAGGTTTCTTTGTGACCTTTAAAGTAAAGGTTCTGCTCAAAAGCATGACCACTCTGCCGACTGCACAGGTCGCAGGGTGGTAACTGACCCCGTCAGAGATCCAGGCCTCCAATGCCACTTACTTCTGCAGGCCTCCAGTGTTCCAGCAGCCTGTGATCTTTCTGGGAGCAGATGTCACTCACCCACCTGCGGGGGACGGGAAGAAGCCTTCGATTGCCGCAGTGAGTGTCAGTGCTCTCCTCTGAGCCTCTGTTGGTGGCGTGGTGCTTAGGACTCTGCAGAGACCACCAAGACACATGTGGTCTCTGCAGCCATATGGCTGAAGGGCATGGAGGTTTGCCCAGCTGCTCGGTAACCTCAGGGCCTCATGGCGAATAGGTGATTGAAGGGGACACTGACGGTGGCATGAAATAGTCGCACGCACCAGCGCTGTCCATAGACGCACGTGGACTGGCTGCCCACCTGGCGTTCCACCCTCTTCAGCTGGGCCTCCGTCCTGCTGCCTAGCAGCGCTGATTGTTCTCAGGAGAGTCTAGGGTTACTGTTACAGTGGCCTTTATTTTAAAAGAGATCCAAACCATGCCTTCCTCATAGTGAGGGTTTAAGCTTTGGAGTGCAGAGAGCAAAGGGGGTTGCCTGAGAGCCATCTTTTCTGAGGGCCTTGGCCTCGTAGCAGTGGGGGAAATCAGAAAGCATCAGGTGTCTCTTTTTGGTCATTGTCTGGAGCCACTGGGTTTCACCCCCCAGTGTCACCTTGGGTTCTTGAGAGCCCTGCCATGTGCCCTGGCTTTCTTGGCCGAATTGCCTCAGAGAAGTGCTGGGCTGCTAGCAGGAGTGAGAGCTGAGGCCCCTGAAGGTGGGTTCCTTTTGGGCAGGGCACAGCTGCAGAGGGTGCCCTGGATGGATTGCAGAAGCACAGGCTGAGCTTGGCCCTGGACTACTGCAGACTCTGCCTGCTCGCGTCTGTTTCTTTTGAGCAGTTAAGCTTAACATTCCTGAACTTTCTCTTGGGTAAAGTGAGGAAACCACTGTGGATCTCTAAAGATTATTGTGAGACAGTGTAGTTAAGCCCCAGCACGGAGCCTGGCCCATGGAGCTAAGAAAATGCGGCATCATCTGATAAGTCTGGAGGGACTGTGGTCTAGGACCCTGTCTCAGGGATGTGGGGAGCCAGGTAAGCCGTGGGTGGAAGGGAGCTGCCATGGTACTTGGGTACATGTGTGTGCAGCACACATAAATCGTGCTTGGCTGTCACTCCCCTTATGAAATCAGTGTCATGTAAGCAAGGTAGTTCCTGCTGCCTGGCCCAGTAACTGCGACCCAGCACTTCCCGTGCGAGCAGCATTTCTCGCTTTGCTGGATGCCTTTGGCTCCTTCCTCCTTTGGTCAGAGAGCAGCAGCTCAGCACCTCTGCTCGGCGTGGCTGGCTGTGCTCAGGTTTACAGAGGAGGAAGCTGGGCCCAGAGAGGAGGCCCCCGGGGCTTCCCCGGCCGAGCTCTGCACCCACTGCGGGCCTGCAGGCTCCAGCTCTGGGTCTTGCCATCTCCCTGCCTCACCTGTCCCTGTTAGTGTTTGTTCTTCTGGACAGATGTGGTGTAGTGTTGAATATTATCTCTGGGTTTAGAGGGTTATGTTTTCAAGTTTTCAGGAACAGAAATCTGTGTTCACCCCAACCCCCAAATTCTCAATAAATAGAAACAGATTTCTGTTTATGTTAATTTATTTGTTTATACCAACTTAACATTTCAGGGTCTGTCTATTTTCACTTGTTTGAGAGGAAAATCTTGGCCAAGGCAGGACCTAGGCAAGGCGTCGGGGGCTGGCCCGGGGACTGCTGTCCTGCGTGGGTTTCCTGAGAAGCTGGCTTCCTGGAGCCTGCTTTCCACGGGCACAGGCTTTCCCTCGGTCTTTCCAGTTTAAGGAACCTGCCTCCCAGCTCAGAGGTGAGCAGGTCCTGGTAGTGCCTGTCCATTTTCCTACAGGGCTGAGTTCCCGTTGTCCCTGACACTCCCTATGCCCCGACCAGACAACCTGAGTCGCCACGGGCTCATTCTGCTCTCTCGCCTGCTCACCCTGTCTCCCTCTGGTTGGCATTCATACTTGGGCTCATACAGCTTCTGGCCTTTGGGAGTTCCCCTTTCCTGAGAACCAAAATCTGGGTTGCTGTGTGTTGATAATGCAGTGGGCTCTTTGGAAAAGCAGGTGCCAAACCTTCAGAGAAAGCAAGGACACCACTTCCACTTTGCTGTATTGGGACATCCAGGTGGAGACCCTTCTGCCCACCTGCAGGCCAGTGCCACCACGTACCTAGAAGAGGGAGCCTGGAAACCTTGCCAAATGCTCACTGCATGTTTCCACAGGTCGTGGGCAGCATGGATGCGCACCCCAACCGCTACTGCGCCACTGTGCGTGTGCAGCAGCACCGGCAAGAGATCATTCAGGACCTGGCGGCCATGGTGCGTGAGCTGCTCATCCAGTTCTACAAGTCCACACGCTTCAAACCCACCCGCATCATCTTCTACCGCGATGGTGTCTCCGAAGGCCAGTTCCAGCAGGTTGGCTATCCTCCCTTTGAGCTTCTCTATCTTTGTCTGGTGTCTAAGATTCCCCAGTACACTAATGCAGACTGACTCAGTGGCTTTCTACCCAAGGTTGATGCGGTCAGAGTGTGGAAGGCAGAGTGGTGGAGACTGCAGGGCACGGGATTGTCCAGGCCCTGGCCCTAGTCGGGCTCATGGTGCAGAGTCGGGGCAGAGGAAGTGGAGAAGGAGTGGGTATGAGCTTGGGCCCTGGAGACATGGGAGTGAGGGTCTCACCTGGCCAGCGGTGGGTTCAGCAGCATAGCTCACTGCCCATGCTTTCCAGAAGTGTGGACTTTGCCTTGGAGGATATGAAGAGCTGTCAGGGGAACAAGGTCTTTGCACGATAGAGACCTTATATCTGGTGACCCTTCTGTCTGTAGTGTGAGAGACAGGCTGGAGTAGGTACCACAGCAGCAGGATAAGAACTGCATGTGGCAGAAGGGGCTCTGCAACATCATGACCCCGGCACCGTGGGTGCACAGAGATGGGTGGGCCCAGTGGGTAAGAGAGGGTCTGGAAGGGGAAGAAAGCCCTCACATGCAGGGGTGAGCGAGGGCATGGAAGTGGCCTTATTCTCCTGATTCTGCCTCCAACAGTGCTGAGTCAAGGTGCCCTGCCTGTGGCAATAGAACTCTGTCCTGGCCCTGAGATTCTCCCCATCAGCTTGGGCTGGTTGCACTTCTGTTTCTCCACTCCCAAAGCAAGTGTGTTGTTAAGCAGTGGTGGCAGTGGGGGCCACTCAGTGGTGGGGAATTGTCCTTGTGCACTTCAGAGGCTCCAGGTGCAACAGATTCTGCTTCTTGACCAAGTGGCCTTTCTGAGCTGCTGCACAGCCTGGCTGGTGGCTCCCTCTGTGCCCTCACAGCTCAGGGTCCTGTTGTGTTGACAGACCTCCTGGGCTCCCCCAGCAGGGACTCTTCTCCCTCCCTTGAGCTCCTGGCCCTTTTCCCCCATGTCACAGTGCCATTCCCCCCATGTCACAGTGCCATGCCCATGTAGAGAGGGGATCTGCCTTCCTAGGCTCTGAGCACTCTGTCTTACAGAATCCCACAACTGAGTTTTCTGCACCCAGAACTTATGTTCTTGAGACATTGTAATAGAGTATTTTGATTGAGATTATTGCTTAAAATCTATAGTGTAGCCAGGCACAGAGGCACATACCTGTCATCCCAGCTACAAGGCTGAGGCAGGTGGATGGCTTGAATCCAGGAGTTCAAGATCAGCCTCAACAGAACAGCAAGACCCTAAAAAATAACAGAAATTCAAAGTGCCCTGGTTCGTAGGCTGTGCCCATCATTTTCCGTGTTCCCATCGGGACTCAGATAGGGCATGCAAGTTTTACAGGTAGGATTGGGGGTCAGAATGTGTGGCTTTCCACATGGCTAATTGGTGGCAGAGCTCAGATTCAAACTCTGGTCTGACTCCTAAGCATTGCCTTTTCCATTAGATAGGTATTTAAAAAGCAGCAGCTTAATGAATGACCGACTTTCTCAGTGCTGTAAGTCCTCTGCAGTGCCTCAGCCCTGAGGGGTGTGAGTGCCGTCTACTGAGCACTGAGAGTGTTCTAAGTGCTGTGGTCATCATTTTCATGCATTTTCTAACTTAAAAACCAGTTAGCCATGAAACCTGGGTGTCCCTAGCTCTATTGTATAAATGAAAGCAGGAAGTCACAAGGGAAGTTGCGTGCCCAGGCACACGCTAGCAGAGCTGGAAGGCTTGACTCTAGGCGTTTAAGTGGCACATATTTTTAAGATGTTTACTTCGAGTAGCACGAGGCCTAGAACGACCCTGAAACCTGCCTGTCTCTCTCTCCCTTCCAGGTCCTTCACCACGAGCTGCTGGCCATCCGTGAGGCCTGTATTAAGCTGGAAAAGGACTACCAGCCAGGGATTACGTTCATCGTGGTGCAGAAGAGGCACCACACACGGCTCTTCTGCACTGACAAGAACGAGCGGGTGAGCCCCCCTGGCATGTCCTGGTGATGCCCTGGGGATATGCGTGGGTCATTTCAGGGTCCTGAGCCACCTCACAGAGCTCCTACCAGCCACTCAGAGCTGCTGCCCCAGGCCCGGGGAGACTGTGCTCTGAGGAGCTTCTTGGGAACCGCCTCAAGTGTCCTGGATGGCTCTCTTTGCCTTGGGAGCAGTTTTATCTTGAATCTCGCAGATCTGGGATAGGTCCGGTTTTAAAATGTCATTTATCTCATAAATTACCAAAAGAGATGATTCTGAGAACCCGTTGGACACACAGCCGTGGACTGGGCAAGCGTGGAGTGTGATAGGATGGGGTCAGCCACGGGCCCATGTGGGACTGTTGGGAAGTGCTGCTAGGTGGTCCTGAGGAGCTCTCACATGGGTTGGGAATAGCTGAGAGCATCTTCCACACACCTAATAGGACACATGGTCCTGCCTCTGCCCATGAAAGAGACAGTGCCTAGGAGGGCAGGACCCAGGCTGAGAACCACAGCCTTCACACTGGTGACAGCAGGCAAGAGCAGGGTGGTTTAGATGTACTGGGTGCTGAAGAAGACTAACTGCAGCTCAGTCCTGGTGGCCCTACTGCCACACCAGTGCAAGAAGCAATGTTGTGATGTAAATGGAGGAACCAAAAGGTAAATGTTACAGTGAGGAAAGGGGATATTTTGTCTCATAAAAGGACTAATTCACTATCAAGATTGAGCATCTGTGATCTTAAATGTACCCAGTACTCTGCCCTAAAATTATATAAGAATGGGAAAAAAAAAAAAAAAAGTGAAGCAAAACCGGACAGAATTTCATCAGAAGTTGAAATGGGAAAAAATGAGAACTGAAAACTGCAAGAGTGAAAAGGATGATCCAGGCACCGTAACTGGACAGGACCTGCCACAGCACCTGGGGCCACACAGAAGGGCTACAAAGCTGGCTTTCCACCAGGACAGAGGAGCCGCTCACATTTCCATACCTCAAGTTTTGTATAATAAGCCTTATGTTTTGATCATTATACAGTTAAATTCCAAATCAGTAGGAATGAAGTTTAAGAACACTTGAAACTTTCAATTTACTGCTAAGTAGCTCATGCATTAAACATATAATGAAGATAGAAATTGCAGAGCACTCAGAAATGAACAAAAACCAGAAGATTTCATTTCAAACCTGTGCGGTATAGCTAAAACAGTGCAGCCTGGAGACTTAGATGCATTGGGTATAAAACAAGAACCATGACAGAAAGTGAGAATAAAGACAGAATGGAAAGAAGAGACCCCAGGACCCAGGAGTCGAGGGAGAGCTGCAGAGCTTGGGGGCTGGGCTCCTTCCTCTCCTCAGTCCCCAGGTCCCCGTTGCCAGGAAGCAAGAAGGCTCCGTAGGCAACTATTCCTGGAAACACCTACACCCTCTCCCCCTTCCCAGAATGGAAAATAAGTACAAAGTAAAGAAGCAAGACAGGAGATTAAAATCAAAACCTGCCTCTTTGAAAATAGATCCAGTAAGACTCCACAAGGAACAGGACATTGTCTAAGCATAGGAGCGTGACCCTTTATGTGATCACTATATGATTATTCTAAGGTATTGGCCCAGAGAGCTTCACAAGCAAGTTTCTCCAAACCTTCAGTAACAGATCATCTTAAGTATGACAGAACACACAAAGTTACTTGGTGTGTTTATGAGTGTAGTGAGAGTTTTGCAGGTAAGATTTATCAAACCTTCAAGGAAAACTCTTTTACCATGTCAGAGATCAGGAATGGGGGGGGGGGGACTAGTTTACATTCTGAGGCTGGCTTGCTAATCCCAAGTGTGGGGATGCAGGCATTGTGCTGGGGTTAAGGGTCCAGGGTCTTGAGTGAGGTGGCCTGGGCTCAGTTCTCGCCCTTGCACATACATACCTAACCCTTTGTATTTCAAGACAGAGTCTAAGTTACTAAGGCTGCACTGCTCTCTTGCAAGTGGTGGCCAGGAGCCAGCCACTCGTGGGAGCCCTGGCCAGCTTTTAGGGTTTTGCTTCCCTGCCTTGAGTGCTACGTGGACGTGCTGAGCACCAGCCTGCACAGAGGGTCCTCGCCCAGCTTGGATGTTGATAGCATGTTGCTTCAGTATGTTGCTGGTCGTACCCCTGGGCCCCCCCAGATCAGAGTGGCACCAACAGTGCCAAACCCTCTTAGAGTAGATGGTTCAGTGAAGACTGAACTTGACCTGTGCAGCTTATAGGATGTGAGGGTGAAGAAACAGAGCGAGTCTAGTTATTAATACTGGCTGGAGTTTCACACTCTCCTCTGAACACACGCATTAAGCAGTTTGAAAATTTGTCACGGGGCTGGGGCTCAGTTGGTTAAGTGCTTGCCTTGCATGCATAAGGCCCTAGGTTCGATCCCCAGCACCACAAAAAATAAATAATAAAGATTTGCTTTGGCCAGAAAGCCTGTGTGGACTATCTTCCTTACTCCCTGTGTCCTGTCTGATGAGGCTCTTGTGTTGCTGCAGGTTGGGAAGAGTGGGAACATTCCAGCAGGCACAACTGTGGACACGAAGATCACCCACCCAACGGAGTTTGACTTCTACCTATGTAGTCATGCCGGCATCCAGGTGAGGACGGAGGGCCCCGTGCACACAGTTTGGGATATTTGCAATGTCATCACACAATCAGCCAACTCCTGTGCTCTGATCAGCCCTGGGACCTGGTGGAGTGGCATGGACAAGGGTCTGCCCACCTCCCGTCCCTGGCTCACACTCGGGCTGTGAGAGATGGGTAGTTAACCTGGGACCCAGGAGACTGTGGCCATGTCAGACACTTGGAAGGAAAGAACCACAGAGGTGCTAGGGTAGACCATGTGGAGTGGCCACCAGGGCTTCCCCAGTTGAGTTCCATTTTGAAGGAAGTGAGGTCCAGGCAGAAGGAGCTGTGAGTGCCAGGGCACTTGAGGGGGTAGAGGCTATATTGTGGATGGCGCTTAGCAAGCTAGAAAATGAGACCTGAATGTTCACGCGGCCACCAGGAAGCTGCTGCAGTAGGGCACATGAAGAGGCAGCTCTGGCTGGTCGACCTTGCAGCCCCTCCGTGGGGGCTGGCTGGTTGGGCAGGCTCCAGGTGAGTGCTGGCACCAGGGGATGCAGTTGCCATCTCCTGTGACCCTGTCAGGCTCCTTCGGGGAAAAGACCCATATCTGGCCAAGGGTGGACACATGCATGTGGCCACCAAAGTGCCATTTCCATTGAGAAGCTGACCTGCCTCAGTCCACACTGTCTTTACCACTCGGGTGGAGGACTGCAGCCTGGGGTGTGGCCACCTGCAGCCCATTTGCTAGACCTAAGAACTGAGGCTGTTTTTACAGATTTGAAACTTGTTTATGAGGAAAGGAAAAAGAAGGACAAAATAAAGGTAGAGAATGTGAAGGCCTCTATGCAAGTTCCTGATGCAGATGGCCTGTCCCGTTGGTCCTGTCCCCCACCACAGCTTTCTCTGTGAAGGCACACTGTTTCCGAGATGTCTCCTCTATCTGCTGTGTGCCCCCCCACCCCCACCCCCCTGCTTCCCTCCTGACAGGGGAACCCTCACTTTCAGGCCTCTGGCTTCTCGTCTGCCCAGAGACTTTCTAGGGGGGAGCCTTGTGGGGGGCTCGGGGAGCCGGCACCCTGCTGTTGCCGTGTCTGGACACACCCACCTGGGCCAGTCATCGCTTTTTGTCTTTAACATCATTGCAATGTTCTTTGGGAAGATTTCACAGTGCATTTGGCTTATTTCATCCTGTAATCTGCTTTCAGGGGACAAGCAGGCCGTCCCACTACCATGTCCTCTGGGATGACAATCGTTTCTCTTCTGACGAGCTGCAGATTCTCACCTACCAGCTGTGTCACACCTACGTGCGCTGCACACGCTCTGTGTCCATCCCAGCGCCAGCCTACTATGCCCACCTGGTGGCCTTCCGGGCCAGGTACCACCTGGTAGACAAAGAACACGATAGGTGAGTCTTGTGCCCGTTGGGGCAGGGACTGCCTCTGATAGACAGGTACCCTAGCAGCCACCTAGGCCCCATTGAACACACAGGTCCCTCAACGTGGCAGCCTTGCAGCCACTCATCAGCTGTGTGCCCTCGCACACTGCTCCCCTCCCCAGGTGTCTGTCCAGTAAAGGCTGTTCTCTCTCCCTCCTGTGTCCCTGCAGTGCTGAGGGGAGCCATACCTCGGGGCAGAGCAACGGGCGAGACCACCAGGCCCTGGCCAAGGCGGTCCAGGTCCATCAGGACACGCTGCGCACCATGTACTTTGCTTGACGTGTCTAGTGTCCAGCGATTGTGCACCAAGTTGGATTCACACGAGACCAGCCTCACTCAGACCAACAGACGCCCAGCCCTCCGTGACAGCCAGCATCCAACATGAGACGTCATTGATTTTATCAGATCTCCATTTTCCAGAATGCCTTCCGTCCCAGATTTCAAACTTGGATTTTGAACTGCAGACCTGTATGAGACCCCACTGTCGTAGGAAATATGGTTTGCCAAAATCTATGAGCTGCTTATTAAAATAGAACCCCGTGTTTCCTAAAAATCCTAAAACCAGTCTATGAACTCAGGGCTTTAAAACATTTTTTAATTTATTTGGTCATTCAATTTACTTGTTTTTAACACATAATTCTCTATGAAATTGATGGGCTCAAACTAGCTGTGAATGTTCTGAGAGTGAAAGCAACACAAAACATTGTGGTTTTAAAGCCTTGAACATTCTGATGTTGTCACTGAAGTTGATTTCCAAGAGGCGTGGTGTGCTTGTGGCCTGGCTGCACAAGCTCAGCCCTAAGGGCAGGTGGCCGTGCGCGGCATCCACAGGTGTGTCTTGCTCTGCCATTGCCTACCTCCCATAGTGTGAGCCGAGGTACAGTGGCAGAAGGAGGGCCACGTGTGTTTACAGCAGTGACATGTCCAGAGAGATTGGCAGATAAGTGCCATTTTAATAACAATTTATTTAAAAAGAGAAGAAAGACAATATACCGACAGTCTAATCATAAGATTTGTCCTATAGGACTGTGACGTTTATTTTCCAAAGTTTCTAAAGAATACGGGTCTGTGGTGAGAAATACAGTACAATCCTTTTTCACTGTTATGTCTTTAATGTAAGAGAAGAATATATATATCTGGTTTGCAGTATTAATGTGATAGGTAGATGCTGTTTTCCCTTTTGTTGACTACGGGGTGCTTCTTGTGACCTGTTTTGCATATCAGGAGTGTTGGAGCCTGGAGACAGGCCACCTCTTGTGGCTCTTAGTGCTTAAGTACAGGAATATGCAACTGACTTTGTGTGACAGCCATCTGCCCCCAGTGTGGACTGTGTGGCTTGTACCTCCGGGAGGGACGGCGTGTCCACCAGTCACTCGCCACCCTCCCTCTGCCTCCTCCCCATGTGTTGCTCAGCCGATGAAGCACAAATGGAGTTTATTTATTCTTCCATCGCTGGGAAACAAGTTCATGTATCAGAGTGCACTTCTCCCTGCGTGCAGTCTTGTTAGGCGAGTTTCATAGGATCTATGCACTGAGACAGACAGAAAGCTGCTGCCGGTAGCTCTCTCCTGGCTGCAGTCAGGGCAGTGGAACCTGCCCTGGGAGGATCGCCCATGGAGATGCCAGCAGAGGACACAGAACGCTCTGTTGGGATTTGCATCCAGGGCCCCAGATGTGGGTTTGCCAATCTAGAAACCATTGCACTAAGAGTGACGCCACAGACAGCTTAAAGGTAACAGCAGATGTGGCTATTTGTGCTGAATGGGCCTGTTGTCCTCGTGTGCAATCTGAGAATCATGCCCATGCTCCATGTAGACCTTAAGGAAGGGGACAAGCCTCCCCTGTGCTGCTTTGTGCTCTGCAGGTTTCCCCTCTCCCTGCCGATGTCCCTTCCCCATCCCTATGTGACGTTACCTCTGGCACTGCGGTGGAGTGAGGGTCCCAAAGGTGGTGCCTCATGCTGAGGTAGGCACCCACCTGTTCCTGTCCTTCACTCCAGAGGTGGTAGGAGTGTTGGTGAGCCCCTGGCAGAGCATCCTGACCCTGGGCCTGGGCTGGCGGCAGTGACAGGTGGCTGTGGTCGGTGAAGATGAGTACTCAGTGGGGGGGTGTCTATGTGTGCATGTGGGTCTCTTACTAATGACATTAGTCTTTTCTTGCTGTATCTTTTTTTAATCTTTTTAAGTGACAGCAGCCTCCGCTCTAAGAAGCACTACAGCTGCCTGTTGTCTTATTGGCAAGTGGCACTTTTCCTGCTTCCAGAAGGACACAGATACACTGAGCTGAGCTCACCAGGCATACTGAAGCTGAAGAGGGAATGTTTTGGCTAGTAAATTTTTAGAATCTGAAATTTAGTTTCAGCCATTCTTAGAGCCATTTGGAACCTTGTTTCCCAAAGGTGTTTCTCTACCCTCTGCAACAGGATCTGGGTGTCAGAGAAGGGCAGGTCTGGTTCAAATGCAGATTCTGAGCTGTCTACAAACAAACAACCTGAATCAGGTTCTGGGGAGTGGCTGGGCATCTGCATTTTTTAAGGTATCACTTGCCAGCTCTGGAGTAGCTGGGGAGGGGGAGGCCTTCTGAGGACGTCCTCCCAGGGCACCTGCAGGGAAGGCCTGCTCAGCAAAGCCAGGAGGTGTGAGAAAGTACAGGCTGGCAGGAAATCAGACCTGGTTTTGTTTTGTTTTGTTGTATTTTAGTTTAGTCTTGTTTTGATCACTTTGAAGGATAAGTTTTCTTTGAAGAAGGGTACTTTTTATAACCCTCTGCTTGTTTTGTAAAACTTTTAAAACTAAAAGCATTAACAGACCAAATGTCCCCATTTGTCAGCTGCATATCTTGTACGTGTCAGATGATTCAGAATTTAAATGGCTGTAGTCACAATTTCTCAGGTAAATAATTGTTTAATAACCCCATTATCAGCATAAGTTTTGAGGCAGTGCAGTAAGTAGCGTGAGTCCAACCCCGTTCACGTGGAAGCCAGGAGTGGTGCCCCTCCGCCTCTGCCCACACTCGTGCCCAAGGAAGCTGGCTCCCCAGGTGGCTCCTTCCCCCTGGGGCTCCTATGCTTATGTTCAAATTTGAGGGCTGACCGCTCAGTCGCTGGCTTTGTCCCCACCCCACTGTTAAGTAAGGTGTGCCTTGCTTTAAGCAAACTGAATGTGAAGATGACAATGTAGAAATCTGAATTCATCTAAAAGGAAAACTGGGATTTATCTCTTTAGAAGAGGCCTGCCAATTAATAATGATTCTTCCTGGGACTCTTCCTAGTATACTTTAAAATACTCACTTTTTTAAAACCATTAGTGAACTCCCATTTACCACCCTCTCTCATGCTCAGCAGCTCCTCCCTGTGATACTAAGTGATGCAAGGCCCAGGAGACCATTTAAAGGAGAGCCCCCTGTGACATTAGCAAAGATACCACCATCCTGTCACTTGGTTGTTGTGAGCTCAGATTCCTCGCTCAGAAAAATTTTGTATGACTGGGTGTGTCTGTGCTTTTAGAAAGGGGTTGCTTGCTCTTGGCCTGGTTTTCCTATGGAGAAGTCTGTGTACACACTTTCTGGCATCCATTCTGGGGTCTGCTTGGTCTTCTCCATATCACCAGGTGGCCCTGGCCGGAGGCTCCAGGCCTCCTCCTGCCTGCCCCCACCCCCCTCCCCAGGGCAGGCGTGGCTGCCCGCAGGGAGCAAGCTGGTGCCCTGGGCCCTGCTTGCCCCATTACTGAGTGCTCATTAGAAAAAACATTTAGGTTCAGTTCCTGCAGCGGGATTCGGGATTGGGGGAGTTTTATTGTTGTTGTATGTTGTTTTTATTGTTGTTAAATGCAAATATTGCTATTTATTTTTTATTTTTTTCCTTTCTGCTCTGGTTTGATTTGGCTGATGTGGGTATTCCAGTGCATGGTACCTGATATGGTAGAAATGATTTTCCCCAACTTTTATAAATGACCTAATGTTTACCTTCAAGGTTGCTGGATGATTTTATTTTTGAAAGCCACAAATGTAGTTTTTCTGGATGAATTGTTTTTTTAATATACGCAGCAGTGTGCTTTCACATTGATCTGCCGGGTGGTTTAAATTTTATTTTTACAAGGCAGTTTTTCAGTCAAATTATATATTTGATACAATATGTCAAGGGCACACCAGCCATGTGCCATGCAGTGGGACACCAGAGGGTCAGGGGCCTCTGGGGGTTGGTGGCCGCTCCTGGCTGCCCAGGGTCGTGGTAGCACTCAGCTTGTTGCAGGGGCCCCGGGAACTGGGTGGGCCTTTCAGTACGGCTCTGGTCTGGCAGGCAGGTCCAAGGGACTTCACGGGCATTCTCCTGCACCTATGGCAGCTCCATTAGGAGGTGCTTTAGACGTTGACCTAATTAGACAGTGGACAATCCCAGTGGCCCCGACAAGCCATAAGAAGCTCCCCTGTGACCTCTCTTTGACTCATCTCTGTGCTCATGAGAAAAGGAATGTATAATAAGTAGAAACAGATCCTCGTCAGTGTTCACAGGCCTCCCCTGCAGAATGCACATGTTTTATTTATACTTCAAGCCCTCCCTTCTCCAGCTGCCATGCCAGCAGTCTCATTGCTGTGACGTGTTTCCATGTGGACACAGTGCACATGTGACTCTGTCACGGGGGGTGTCCCTGTTACATGCATGTTGACGCTTTTGTAAGGAAAATTTTTCAGCTCAAGTAATTGCACTGATTTTTTGACAACTTCTTTTTATTGTGTCCAACTTTGCATCTGCTGTACTTGTTTGAAATGATTGTAAATAGACTCGTAGTAGCAGAAATGATGTGAAGACAGGATGGACGCTGCTTGGCTTCAGTGACGCCGCTTCATGTCTCAGTGTTGTGTGTCAGGGTGGTGCAGACTGGCCTCTGCCCTGCTTCCTGCTCGTTAGCCTCGTGTCTTGACCATTCATGAAGGACAGACAAGCCTCCTTTTCTCGTGTCTCTGACAGGAAGTTTCCGTCTGCTTTCCTGATGGCTGCAGAGTCAAACTTAAGAGGACTGACTGTAAACCTTTGGGACACTTCTTGGTCTGTTCAGTTTTTTGTTGTTTGTCATGGCTCCCCAAAGTACTTCTTTGTTGTTCCATCCAGCCTTTGACAGTTTGGGCAGAAGCATCTGCATGGCCCATATTAGCAGACCACAGGGGCCTCTCTTGTATCTCTTTGGCCAGCTGTCTGTTTAAAGCCACAAGGTCACTGTCATGTCAGACTGTCATTTGTGGCTGTATCTATTAATGCCAGAGAGACACCCGAAGCCCAGTGCTTGCTCATACATTGTGTTCTGCTGGATGCAAGGGACATGTTCCAGCCGCCATGTATAACTGTGTCTGTGGTCAGGCTTCCCAGTATCAGATACAGAAAGGAGCTTTCAAACCCAAACGGGTCGTGCGTGCGTGCGTGCGTGCGTGCATGCGTGTGTGCGTGTGTGTGTGTGTGTGTCACATCAGTGCCATCATGTTGCCCCCACTTTGCTTCTGTGGATGTGTCCTGCCATTTTATTGTCTCAAGTGAATGTATTGGCTTAGCCAAGTCACTAACAGAAGGTGGTTTCTAAATACCTTTTAGTTAAAACAGATACAGATAAAAAGCTACCTCTGAAATCTCAGTAGATTCTTATTTACTCTTAAGTGTAGCTATCCACACTGAAAATAGCCAAAATGTTGCCTGAGTAAACTGAATTTGGAACATCTCTCTGTTCAGTTCTGGCTTGAAAACGTGTGTGCCATACTGTGACCAGGGCAGCCCCCCATCCTCTGCTGTGGCAGTGGACCAGGGACTTCTCAGCGCTGTCCAGCTGCGAGGGTCTAGTGCTCTGGGAGGCCAGGTGTAAAGGGAATGAAGGGCTTCCCTGCGCAGTTGGAGTGCCTTCTGCCAGGCCGTGAGGAGCACCTGCAGGGCACGCGCGATGGAGCCGGGGGTGCTCTGTCCTGCCTCCTGTGCTTTCCTGTTGAAGGGAAGCAGTGCTTGTTTTTTCTGCTTGCTTATAAATGGGTAAACAATGGCCCCCCCCCCCGCCCCCGCCTGCTCTCCTCTCCAGTCTCACTCTCTAAAGTCACCAAGGTGCTTTAACACCGGCTCTCTTTTAAGAGACACTTTTGAGATAGTTGCAGAGTTTCAGAAGAGGGCAGGATCC